TGGAGTTAGTAACAGAAATAGTAATTAGCAATAACAAAATATCTATTAGTGCTTAAACTGAAACTTCTTAAAAGGGCACTAAGAATGAACCCCCTATGGATTAAGGCCATATCTATTTCATGATAATTAGTCCAAAAAAGTTCTACCATTTTTTTAAAAAAAAAGTCCTCTTCCAATGGTGGAATCTTTAGTTATAGACATATGATTCCAGTTCTGTGGTCATTTTTATTATTCTTTTCTGCAACTTTTATAAAGATCCAGTATATTTTTGAGATGAAGTGATCAGAATTATTCACCGTCTAAAAGATATATGACCATTTCTGTTTTAAAGCCATTTTTCCTCATTTAGATTCTATTATAAACTTTTATTTTTATCCTCAAAGTTTTATTTAATATTTTTAATTTTTAATTACTAAATTTAGGGCCATCTTTTTGCTAAGTTAATAACTCAAATTAGCTTGTTAAATGAAAAAGAAAACAGTTGTCTGTTTTCAGTGGTAGGTTCTAGGTATTGTGTAGGTTCTAGGTATTGTGGGAACTATTTTAATGCAGTTAGGGTATTGTAACAGAAGTTGTATTAGCCAGAAGTTATATACATCACTACGTAACTCAGACTCCAGTGCAAATTTAATAATACTGTCAAACAAAAAACCAATCCTTTGTGAAAGAATGAAGTTCCATTCAAAATAGGTTTTGCTTCGAATTCCAAAACCAATTTTCTCTTTAACCCCAACATTATTTTATCTAGGTTTAATTTCAGCTTCTCTTTTCTAGCATGTTATTGTGATTAAATGAAATTCAGGCATATTACGTAAGAGAAATGGTAAAACCTTGTGAAACAACACAAATCAGCAACTTAGATATAATTCAGTATTTCAGAGAAACTTGGTGGCTTCATTCTTTTCTTTCTGTTTTCAAAAATTTTATGAGCAAAGTGAAAAGTGTCAGCCTCCATAGAAATCAGTAGAATTTCAGAACAATAGAAATCTGTCCATTGTCTTTTATTTTCCACTTTCAGTAGTATTCAGTCCATGAAAATACTGGCCTCTCTTCTTGGTAATCTTACCTATATTTGTTTTTATCATTTATAGTAAACAAAGATCTGATCAATGGTTTTCAGGAATGATTTAAAGAGGAATTTTTTCAGGACAAACTGTTATATCTGTGCACTTCTTTTTCTTCTTCTTTGTTTGATCCTTCTGTTTGATCACTCTAGCAACACTGCAGTGAAGAGTTGAGTCATCCTAACTTCACTTGCTGCAGAGCTAATTAAAAATGCTGTTTGCCAGAATTTGTTTTCCTCATTGGGATGAATAATGCCTATGCATTTCTGCTTAGTATGAAATGACTAATGATATTAGAACTTGTTATTCTTTTTGCTAGACTGTCCATTTTAAAACCTCTAAAAAGTTTTAAACTCTGCTAAACAGTTTCAAGAAATGAGTGGCAAAGGTGTTTATGATAGGAGAGACTAGCACTGTATCATTTTAAAATTCTGTATTACACATGTACACTAAGTTTTGAAGAGGCATTGCCACTAAGTTTTGAAGAAATATTTAAAAAAAATAAAAAGGAAATACTATTTTTCATATCTTTTCAAAAGTAAATTAGAACATTGTAATTGTTTCATCAATATCATTATTTTAATTTCACTTTCACTGCAGAAAGATCATTTTTAATAGATAGTTTTCTTTCTGTAAATGAAATTTCATTCAGTAAAGAAATTTGCTAGGATATATGATTGTAGCAAAGCATTTTTCTTTAGGCACACTGCAAAATTATGTAACAATTGATAATAAGATCTTTTTCTCCATATATTTTGTTATTGTGATCTTACCTGCATTGAAAATTAAGTGACTGTGTGTTTAAAACTTGATTGCTTTATAATTTCTCACCCAGATTTGTTCTATTGTACTTTATTAATTTATTTGATTCTTTTTGTTAGTTTTTATTTTTATTTTATTTTAAATATGGTTTTACATTCTGTAAGCCTCCTCGAGTCACCATGAGCGAATAGGCAGCAATATAAATTCAATAAATAAATAATAAAACATTCAAGGAGTTTATAGAAGAATTAATGGAATTAAATTATATAGATGAAATTATTTGGGATTAAACCAAATTAAGGAATGCTAAAAGAAGTAATTCGCTGATTTGTATGAGTTGATAGTGATGCATAAAAAAATGGAATACAGGTAATCCTCAATGTATGATTATAAATAAGCCTGTAATTATAATTGTAAGTCATTGTGGTTGTAAGTTGAGGCATTGTAACTGGATTCAAAATTACTACTATTTTTTAATGATGGTCATTATGTGTGATTCCATTTTCCCCAATGGAATTTTTTTTGGCCCGAAACTGGGAATAAATGCTCGGAAACCAGTACAATTTTAAAGTATTATTTCGAACAATAATTCTTTAAGAACAAGTTTTATTGATTTTTGAAGACAAACAAAACATAAAAGTATAAAATCTCCTTTCTAAGAATTAACAAGGCAAATAAAGCATTATTTTTTAAAACATAGTTCCACATTATCACATTTCCATTTACACATATATCTTTTCCAAATTTCTCATTATTTCTCCCTTCACTTTTGTTCAGTTATATTTCTTTCTATCAAAGTTTTAGTAATTCTCAATCAGTCATAAGCACACAGAATACATAACATAAAACAAGACATTAAAAAAAACCTCCTTAGTTGTCATTTATACATGTCTTTTCCAACTTTCTGTCCCTTTGGTTTCATTCCTCCAAGGTTTTATTAGTTTGCAATCAAACATAACTAATCAAAACACAAAACATAAAACTTCTTTTGAAAAGTGGCTTAGCCCTGGGTTACATCTTTTTTAACAGACCTAAATCAAATTCATGCTCACCTTATATACCATTCATATCTTATTAACCATTTTATATTTTCTATATAACTTCTCCCATCTTTTCACTCTCTTAATTATGTTTTATTTATTTCATCTTATTTCAAAATCATTATGCTTATATCTTTTGTCTGTTCTTTTCCAATCATCTATTTATCTCTTCTCTTGGCTCTAGTATCCTGTTCATTTATTTTAATTCAAAGAATCTAAAATAATAAAGGCAATTAGGCAGGTATCAGTGAATCTCTGTGGCACATCCAGCTATAGTGTAAATAATCTAGTCCACGCAATCAATTATTGATATCCTGTAATTCTATGAGGACACTGGCCTATGGTGGTAGTAAAGGTTATTTTCACCAATGGTATTTTCACCATGGTGGCTCACATGGTTAGGATGCTGATTGCTAAATTGGAGATTAGCAAGCCTGCATTTGAGACCTGTGTGCTGCTGCATTGTGGGATTAGTTGCCGTCATTCATTCCAGCTCCTTGATGGAGACATTAAAGGAGCCCCCACAGGCGTCCCCTGGGCAACAATGATACCGTAGGTTAATCCTTTCAACTCAGAAATGTCTTAAATGGTTCCATGGACACAACTAGGACAGAGAACAAACAGTAGAGGGTGTTTCTTATAATTTGAAACAGTTTGCCACTGTTATGATACCACAACCTTGTAAAGAAGGGGTGGGGGATGACATTTTCCCCAATAGCATTATTAAAGGGAGATGTTTAAATAGAAGAATTAACGTGAAGTCAAAATATTGAACTGACCCTCTAAACCAGAAGTCTCCAAACTTGGCAACTTTAAGCTATGCTGGCTGAGGAATTCTGAGAGTTGAAGTCCACAAGTCTTATGGTTGCCAAGTTTGAAGACCTCTGCTCTAAACTGTTAATCAAAATATTATATATTAAATTATATATTATATAATAAAGTTTCTCTATGTAGTAATCTTTCATTTTCCAGTTCTATTCACATAGTTCTTTTTCTTTTGCTTGTTTTTCTTTGCTTGAGTATATTAGATCTCATTAGGGCACCACCAGTTCTTCTTTTATTTCTTTTTATGTGGGAAGCAGTGGGGGAACCTTTTGAAGGAATAACTTAGAGATAAAATGGTTGGGCAAGTGAGAGTATTTTTTCTTACAATATTTTCCACAGAATTAGCAGTCAACTTTGTGAATAAATTCATCAAGTGTCTAACATACATAAATGTACGTTGATCATCTGAGTATGTGTTTCATGTTAGGGCCATAATTTTGGCATTGTTGTAGTTTGCTACTTATGTCAAATATTAGAATCTATCAGTTAATTGTTTTAAGTAAGTGAGTTGATTTTAGCTGGGAGGTGTTATGTGAACCAAATAATTACATTAATTTGATAAACTGTCACTTTTAATGCGTTATATGAATAGAGCCAGAAGAACTGTTTTGAAATGTATTTAAGACTTGCAAGAAAGAATGGGACATTGAGTGAAGAGACGAAATTCTTTATTCACAAGCTTTTAACTATAACTAGACCCGGAAGCTATGGATGGTGCAACATACTATGGCATGGACAATTATTGGCAAGCCATGATATGCCCAACTAATGCCTCTGCTTCATGATTTGTACTGGTTCCTAAGATGTTTCCAGGTGCAGTGCAAGGTGTGGATTATCACTGGTTATCAGCCTTTCATAGCATGGGAGCAAGTTATTTGAGGGGCTGCTGTTTTTGCCTGTCTTACATAGTCTGACAGAGTTAGTATGAGGATAGTCCCATCAATTAAACAAAGTTCCTGATGAGACCCTGGAAATGGGCCTTTTCTGCCTTAGTGCTTGCCCTCTGAAATATCTTTCCACCTAAGGTTCATATGGCCCCTACCTGCTCTTTTTAAAGAGACCCTTAAAACACAGTTCTTTTACCAGACTCTGAACTCGACTGACTGGTATGCCCCTCCCAAGATGTTCAGTTGTTTGTTGCTTTTTCTCTGAACTTTTTTTGTAATTTATATATTATGTTCGCTGTTTGTGTTTGCTTGTGTCTGTAAACCATTCAAAGCAGTACAAATTGCTATAAATTATTATGTATGCATAAATAAATGTTGGGTAGAATAAGCAAAATAGTAATATTTTTGTTTTTGTGGAATAGGACAAGATTTAGATTTAAGTGATGCCCTTGGCACTTTTGGTAAGTAATTATAATGTTACAAAACCTGAAAATGACTTTCTATACATATTATAGTAATAGTAATATTACGTTATAATGTGATGTTACTCAAACTATAATTAGATTTTGCTTGAGTTGTATAATACTACATCATTTTATAGCTTGCTCAATCTATGTGTCCAGGATCTTCCTGACATTTTATTCTGCTAGTAAACTTCAATTTGCTGGCAAGACATCAAATTACAAATTAAGCTTTTCTAAACTAGGTGGCATGCTGCTTTTGTAGGGTTTTAAATGTATGCTTGTTACTGTACCTAGTTTTTAAAAAAGAAAGTCAGGTATATATTGTATTATGATCACCACTAACAAATAAACACCGATCATAGTTTCTGGAATACTCTCCACATCCTTTACCAATTAGAATTATAAGAGTTATCTGCATTTTTTCCTGTGTAATCTAATAAAGTGTTTTATGTGTTTCTGTGCATGCTTTTTTGTTTTCTTCAGAGATTATAATCAGGTAGTGGACATAGCATTACCTGGGTGGGAATGAGTCTGGGAGTCTACTAATAATGGATTTCTGTCTGTATGTGGTTGTACCTATTTTTCTTCTTATTTCTCCATATTGCATCCATGAGTGTGTGCATGTGTTCTAGGAAGCATCGGATGTGCTTCATGTACCTTATTCTAGTCAGGAAAGAAAAAAAAAACTAGACTAGATAGGAAGAGTAGAGAACGTTTCAAGCAACTGCCCTGGCTCTTCTTCTAGAGATGCATTGGATATTTCCCCCCCCCTTTTTTTTTTCTCCATAGTCCCAGCTAGATCTGACCTCATTTCAAACTTAATCTTCTTTTTCCTTGGTTTTTTCCTGCTCACTAAATATTTACTGAATATTCTGTTTTTGTCCATTTCACTGATGGACAAACAGACAGTCCCAAACCATTTTAAATACTTTCTGCTGTTCCATTAAGCTGAGTTGAATAACAAATATAAAGTATGGTAAACATGGCATTTAAAATGCTTTTCAACCTGTTTACCTGTAATCATAGCAAAGAACTGTATTTAATTATGTATAGCACATACAATAATACATCTCTGTGTTTTTATTTTTATTTGCCCTTGTGCTATTTGTGCACAGGGAACTATGGGATAACTTAATACAAATTTCTAGGAGACATAAGGGAGAGTGGCTTAGAACGGAACAATCAACAACACTGTGAGCTATGTTCCAACTGTCTTTCATGTAGATTTTGGAAAACTGTTTTCAGCAGTGTTTTTTCTCAGTTGTACGGGTCGGAAAATCCAAAGCGTGGGGCTGTCTCCTGCTTCCTTGCTTAAAGATGGAGTCAATCAAAGTTTAGTCCAGCCCCCTTTCCACTGCGCATGCCCAGTTTTTGACTCTGTCTTCATGCAAAGAGGACACGAGGAGAGAGTGCTCAGAAGGAAAGATAGTAAAACTAGGATTGATGCTTTGGATTCTTTGAGAAAAAAAGAGAGAAAAGAGAAAGAGTGAAAGTAGCAAACCATGAGTAAGCAAAAGAGCCGGGACTTCATTCCAAGACGGGAAAGCCCCACATAGCTGTTTGGTGTTAAAAGGACAAGCGGCAGCAGCCTCAGTAAGAGCGGGCAGGCTCTCGATTGGTTAGCAGAGAAAGAGGGCTAATTAACAAACACTTGGCCTTCCATGGTCTTTTTTTTAAAAAGCCAGGAGCCGCACAAAGTCTCCAACACTCTCTTTCATAGGAGCAAACTCAGTCTTAGGCTGAGCGAGCTCCCAAAATAGCCACACAAGCCTACCCAGGAGAAAGGGAGGCTAGAGTCCATACTCAGGCCGGTCTGAGCATACTTATAATCCGGAAGAAGCTGTCAGGAAGAGCCAAAAGAAATACTATGGCTGAATTTTATGAAACGGAGGCAGGACCAGAGGAACAGGAATTCCCTGACCCCAGCCTGATCAGAGAGCAAAACACAAAGGAACCAGAGAGGCTGGGAGACCTTCAGAAAGGCCTCTCAGCAGGGTGTCTAAGGCAGATGAGAGAGAGGCATTAAGGAGACAAAAGGCCATTGAGAAGTACTTTTCAAGGACGGAAAAGGAGGCGGAGAAGAATGGGAATTCCCGTGCTCCAACGGGCAAGCCAATGACAACAAAGTATCAAGAAACACTAGAGGGCGCTGAAGATCAGTCTTTTCAGCCTGCTCTTTGTGTGGACAAAGGAATGAGTGAGTCAGAAAGACAATGCTCTCAGGCATGCGATGAAGAGCCCTCCCCCAAGAGAAGGAGGTTTTCATCAGAGTTGTTCTCCCATAGCAACAGGAGTCAGGGAACAGTCCTTTAAAGAGGAAATGAAAGCCACGATGAGAGAAATGATGGCAGAATTCAGAGACAGTCAGGGTTTGCGGGACCTTGGAGTCCCTCTCATGACACCCCCTAATCCGCATGTTCATCAGGGGACCAACCAATCTAAAGCCACCAGTGATGCATAGGTACCCTACTTGGGACTTGACAAGGGTGCTAAGGGCGCTCATGACTGAGCCCTTTGAACCGCATTATCCGTGAGGGAGGACCTCTGTATAGTTCACCTGAGCAGGGTAGTATTAAGATTAGACACGACCTTTATCCCAAGTTAGTACTACCAGACTTCTGCCCAGAACTGGTCCATAGCCTAGAAAGGAAGTGACACTCCTTGGATGTTAGGAGAGCTATACGCATTTATATTAAGAGAACAAGGCCCATTAGAAAAATGGAAGCATTGTTTGTTTCATTTAGACCGATTTCGTTGGGACAAAAGGTTTCACCATCAGCCATAGGTAGATGGATCAGGACATGTATCACAAAGCTTATGAAAGCCAATCATTGCAATTGCCGGGTAACATAATGGCACATTCAACCAGGTGTGCAGCCATATCAGCAGCATGGAACACAGGCCTCGATTGAAGAGATCTGTAGGGCAGCAACGTGGTCATCGCCATCTCCATTAGAAATTATAAACTGGATACATTTGCATCAGCGGAAGCATCCTTTGGAAGAAGGATGCTACAGAGAGTTCACATGGAGATGGGGGCTCGGGACAAGAAGTTGGCCCACCCTCAGGACAAAGTACGTCCCACGCTTTGGATTCTCCGACCCGTACAACTGAGAAAGAGCGCTGGGCTTACTTGAAATATATCTTCTAGTTGTACGGGAGGAGAATCCAAATCCCACCCTTAGATAGTTAGTCCCGAGCACGGAATGGTTAAGAAAGAGCACCAAGAACTCTCCAAGTCAGTCATCAGCCTTCATCAAAAACTGGGCATGCGCAGTGGAAAGGGGACTGGACTAAACTTTGATTGACTCCGTCTTTAAGCAAGGAAGCAGGAGACAGCCTCACGCTTTGGATTCTCCTCCCATACAACTAGAAGATGCGTTTCAGGTAAGCCCAACACTCTTTCTCCCCTACAGCTTCAGTTTGGATGCTCGCTGTGAAACCTCATCTTTTTTTGGGTGGCATCCTCTACCAAACTAAATTTGTCCTCTTTTGTCCGTATTTTGAGAGACAATCGTCCTGCTGATAGACAATTGGGATTTCAAGCACCTTCACATATATTTTTTTCAACTTTCTGTTGAGATTGGGCAGATTTTTAAAAAAATTGATTACAAAATCAGTTTAGCATCACTCTTTTGCAGGGATGGACCATTTTATGATGATGGGGCATATTTTTGGAGCATCAGTCCTTATAGTAACAAAATAATGGGTAGGATTATTATTATTTTTTGCTTTCTACTCATTGAATGAGAGTACTTTTCAAAAATTATATCAAATGTCTTTTAGTGCTATTTAATTTTAGCATTATATAAAATCATGCCACCAATTTTCATTTATGAAGGACTACAAAGAAGGTTTTAAGGGCTGAATTTTATTTTGTTCTGCTTTAATGGATAGTTGCAACTAATTATATTTTACTTTTATATTTTAGCCTCTACTAAAAGGCCTAGTGCAGTTACCAAAAAGCCAAGTAAGTATAGATTTTTTGCAGTAAGCATTTTTTTGGGAACGGTTTTATTTTGTGATTGTGATTGCATTTGAATATAAATGGCTATAGTTCAAAAATATACTTTAATTTTAAGGAAAGCTGAAGGCCAATAGAAGTAAAATTGAATATTTATAGTTTGCTGTTACCTAGTAAATATGTGAATATTCTCATATGTTCTTATTAGGCCCAACTACCACATGAGGTTTTTTTTAATTATGAATTTACAATGAAAAATATTTTTTTAAAGAAAATCAAAAAAATTATATATTTCATTTAGCAATAGCAACGCATAGCACTTAGACTTATATATGACCCCCTAATGCTTTATAGCACTTTCCGGATGGTTTACAATGTGAATATATTGTTCCCAACAATCTGGGTCTTCATTTTACTGACCTCAGAAGGAAGGACAACAGAGTCAACCTTGACCCCTGTTGAGGTCAACTCCAGACTATGAGTTGGACTCTAACAACTGTGCCACAATTAATAAGTTGACTTACTAATGCTATTAATTGATATTTGTCTTGAACCATTTGGGATGGGTTTTTTTCTCTATTAATATAAAAAACCTCTTAAAATAATTGTAAGAAATATCAGTGGAGTTCTTGGAAATGTTTTAGGCTTATCAAATTAATGAACGTTTGTCCCCTTTACTTCTTTGTGCAAATGGATTTGTTTGTTTTTCACTGTCTAAATCCTATTAGATGATAGATAGATAGATAGATAGATAGATAGATAGATAGATAGATAGATAGATAGATAGATAGACAGACAGACATTTCCTTTCATGACCACTAGCCTTTTGTTTGCAAAACAATATGGTTATTCTACATGAGACATTGATATCTAATAATTTGTTCTGTCTAGGTGATGGCTTCGACTTAGAAGATGCTATAGGTAAGCATTAGAAGAAGTTGCTTAAAACATCACTTGTTAGAATTTATCCTACTTTCCTGAGTAATAGTTTTGTATAGTATAACTAAGAAAAACAATTATATTTAAGACAACTGGTTGAGAATGGCTCTTGCCAGCCTCAGTAACTTGAGGGCAAATGTCTTCCACAGTAACCCATGAATAATTCTTGTTTATGCCATGCCCCTTAGAAGGTTTTTTTCTGCCTTTCTGCCTGCCATCTTCACCTAATCAGATTAGAGAGTGTGATACATTTGTACTTGTTTTCAACTATTACTTGCATTATATCACTTCGGCTGTTTACAAATATCAGGAGAACTTAAGATCCAGTATATTGACAATCAGAAGAACTTTATGTCTTTTGGAGGTATGTTGCCAGATTGCATTCCACCAAGACCCAAACTAGCATCAGTAATATTGGTTTATAATATTCAGAATTCATTAGAAAATCCAGGTGAATATTATAGAAAAATAGGATTCAGAGAGTAAGTGGAAACAAAGGAACAATGGATATGACCATCCAAAAAGAAAAACAAGCTTAAGGAAAAATGCTTTGAAAATATTCACTCTTTGCCTTGAACACTTAGAAAATAAAATCAGTTTCTGATCCATAATTTGTCAAACTTCTCTTTGAATATACAACTTTGGTTTAGATTACGTTCCTTCTTACAGCTCAGAAACTTGCATGTCACAAGATCAGTGGACTTTTTTTTTTCTTTCGAATCTCCATAGCCAGCTGATGCTTCTCAGAAAATTCACTGAACACCCCCCCCCCAATCAAATTAGTTTTTCCCAACTATAAACATGGGGGAGGGGGAAGCAGATTGTGTTTGCTAGAAAATCTAGCTAATTAGCCTTCTCACGTCTTCCAGATATCCATAGAAGGGATTTGTCTGCAACTTGATTGTGTATGCACATTCTAAATCTGACACTAAGGGAGCTTATATTACTGAGATAGCCAATGTATTCTTGGTTCATGTGCGTTATATATTTTATTGGTTACTGTCCCCACCTTTTATATACAGTATTAGGACAGAGGTTTCCTACTGTCCTAATCTCCAAAATTGTAGTAACAGCAACATTTTTCTAGTTATTGACCTCGCTCAGGGTCTTTAAAAAAATTGAAAAGCATTAACTTTCCAGTCTCTATATAAATGACTGTGGTGTGTGTTAAGGTAATAAAATCTGCATGTGTGAACAGAGCTTTTATTATCTTTCCATTTATTTGGAGCCATTCATATAGAGTTGATCATTTAAGCATTTTTTTCTGGATAACAGGCCAAAGAAAATGCATTGGTTTGTTTTTAAAAGCTGATACACTTCCCTTTTATGTCTTGCAATTAGATTGGTGAAAGATGAGAAAATCATACAGGCTACAAAATTGAATTGAATTCACCTCTAAACCATCTTCGTATTTAGAAAATGTGTTTAATTTTATTTAATTTTAAAGCTCACAATTTTTATTTAGTGTTTAATTTTAACATTAACATTAATATATCTTGTAAAGCTTGGAATTCTAGTTTTATTAGTCACATTGAGTACTTCTTCACATTAAAGAGACAAATTTAATGAATGGATAAATGAGACAGCGGGCAGAAATTACGCTTGAACTTTAAGTTTATGGGGATAAGTTGTTTTTGCGAGATTTACAAGATACATCAGTGGAAGTCAGATTAAAAAGATTCTGAATTATGTTCATGTCATTGTTCCTATTTTTAAATATTTGGGAATAAGAAGGATGGTGATGAAAAAAATCCTGTGAAGAAGGTAAATATACTTATTTTGTTTTCATTACAGAATCATCAATGAAATGAACTCACTAAGCAAAGGGATAAATTTAATGTAAATTTGTACACATGCTGCCTATAAAAATATAAAGAGGGTACTGGTTCATCAGAAAACTGGATGTTAAGCTATTTAGATATTATTTAGAGAAAATAAATGCCTTATATGTGACCTCAAGTAGTATAAATATGATATATGTCCCAATACTTAGATGACTGAGCTCTTTGTTTTTGAATTTGGTATGAGTTAATAGTTTTGTGCCTTCTTTAAAAAATTTCCACTTGTACTATATTGCAGTACTCTAGCATGATCTAATCAGAACATGTATGTATTACTGAGCTAAAAGTTTAGGAAATATGTCCTCCTTCAAGAAGAGACATTTATTTCCATCCAAACCAATACCAGCTCAGAAGACTCCATTTTATCAGGACTCCTTTTCATATTATTTTCCTGTATTCTTCTCACATGTGGCCTTACACATTTTATTTCTTCTTTCTGATTTCATGGTAAAATTGAGAAATGTAACTGGATGTAATTTACATACAAATAATATCATAGCCAAGACATACATAAAGAACTTTATAAATGATAAGTAGCATCTTAAATTTGACAGTTAGAAGCTCACTAAAAACTAAAACGGAGGTGTTACATGAGGGAATAACTACACCCAGCAAGCTATATCAGATGTTAAATAAACAATAGTATTTGAAGAGAACGTTTTGCAGAGCTTATATATAACTGTTGTGTGTCTTTTTTGCCATTGTAGTAATTTGCCAAGATATTTATTTTGCTTAACAAGTACAATTTTCTAATTCTATAATTCTATAATAGTATTATATTACTGTTGATTTTGAAAGGACCATCTTTTCCCAATCATATCTACCCAACCCACCATGCAGGGAGTTAGGGAATGTTATGGGCAGGAGTGGGATTCTACCTGGTTGGACTGGTTCTATAGAACCAGCTGTTACGATTCTGCACAGTTCGGAGAACCGGCAAATTGCGCGACTGGCTGGTCCCACCCCTCTCCTCCCTGCCCACTCATTTCTTACCTGGCACATGTGCCATCCAACTTGCCTGTGTTGTGCCTTTGCCTAATTTTTGGTAAGTTGCTATTTTTCCTTCCCTCCCCTGACCATCAGCTGTTCTGACCTGCTGGGAGATTTAGATTAGCTAGAAAGCAGGAAATCATTGGATTTCTTGCTTTCTAGCTAATCTAAAAGCAGAGCTGAACCTTCCTTAGGACTAAGCTTCTATTTTTCAATGCAGACTCAGATAGCAGATTGCAGAAAGGTAGATCTCTGAGTTAATCTGTGATTCTGTGAGCAATTCAATCTGCCTGCCTGCTTTGCCTAATTTTGGGTAAAAGTTGTTCTTTTTTTTTTTATAAAAAATTCAATATTTACATACATGGTGTATTGTGAGTTAATTTTGTGAGTTTGCTTGCAAGCAAATTTTGTGAGTTTGCTTGCAAGCAAATTTTATGTGACAGACTCAGGTTAGCAGATTGCAGAAAGGTAGATCTCTGAGTGAATCTGTGATTCTGTGAGCAACTCAATCTGCCTGCCTGCTTTGACTGGTTTTTAGTAAAAGTTGCTTTGTTTTTATAAAAAAATTCAATATTTACATAAATATTTACAATATTTACATATTTTTTTAGAATATTTACATAAATATTTACATTATTTATATACAAACCATGCCTAGCCAGTCACATGACCACCAAGTCATACCCACAAATTAGGCCATGCCCACAGAACTGGTTGTTAAGCTGGGTTCTTGTTGACAGACCGGGGACTGCGACTGTCTGCAGCTTCAGTCCGTGCTCTCTCGTTGGAGAGCCCCAATCACTGTGATTGGGGCTAAAGCTGCCTTGGAGGGGCGGCGGAGTAAGGGGAAGCCGCCAGCCAGGTGGAGGGGAGCCGCATCCCCCCTCCCTGGGCGATGCAATTTTTCCCCCTGAAGACGACCGAGCGGTGGTCTAAAATGGCCACCCTGAAGAGGAGGATTTAGCTGGAGATTTGTGCAGGAGAGAAGAGGTGGACAACATAAGAACCGGGCAACTTGGTGCAACAATTAATTAAAAGGTACCCCAAGATGGTATTTTAAGAATTTTTATGAAAGAATAAGAAAGGGAAAGGGAAAAAAAGTGAAAATATCTTTGACAGCTGAGCAGGGCTTCGAACAAGGATTGGAAGAAGTTGGGACAAGATATCCAAACAAATTGAATTAAAATACATTGCTAACAAACAGGCACAATTTAAAGCTGGACTTAGGAATTTTCAAAAAGAAGGGGGAAATATTTAAATTGAAGATTTTATTGGTTTGGAATACTGAGGTTTGGAAAGCCCCGAACAAATAAACGGGGGAAAAGGTGAGGACATTACATAATGGAGAGTGCCATCTGGTGGACAAAAAATTAAGCTGAAAAAGGGAAAGTTCCTATTTCTTGGATCTGATTTGATAAAACGAAATCGGATCTGATACAACAAAAAGGAAATATTGAAACAATATAACAAGTACCCTAAAAAGTTAAAATTGAATTAGAACAAAAGAAAAAATATGGATTGTTGGACTGATTGGTGATTTTGCTATAAACCCAGTTCGGGAATAGTTGTTAATCCAGAAAGTTTGAAGAAGAAAAAAGAAAAAGATTGGTGATTGGTGGATTTTAATGACTATAAGATATAAGGGCGTGTAACGATATCTCTGTGGGATCTAAAAATGGAACCTAAAAATTTGAAAGAACTGCTACATGCAAGAGTTAAAAGCTATGAGTTAAAAGCTATGGAAATGGCGATTGAAGAATATGAAAAAGAAACCTCAGAGAAGGAGAAGTTAGTTCAAGAAGAAGCCATCTTAAATAGACAAAGAACACAAAGAAGAGGAAAAAGAAGAGCGGTTAAAAATGGGAGATTTAAAAAAGTAACTAAAATGGGGAATATTTATAAAAATCTGAAAGACAGAAAGAAACAGCAGAAAAGTAAAAGGGGGAAGGAAAATATATATAGAGAGAGGAAAATCAGAGGGAGAAAAGATTTGGAAAAACAAAAGGGAAGAGGTAATGAACAGGAAAGAGAGAAATATGGGAATTGTAAAATAAAGGAAGATTTTTTGGGACAATGATTAATGAATTAAGAGGGGATTCCGCATTGACATGAGGGGTAATGTACTTTGCAATTACAAATTATAGAATATAGTTTATTGAGAGGAGGGAGGGGCACAGATATCTATTTAGAAGATGAATGCATTTTCTTATTTTTATTCTTACAAGAAAGGTTAATGTTTATTTTATACACTGCTCAAAAAAATAAAGGGAACACTTAAACAACACAATGTAACTCCAAGTCAATCACACTTCTGTGAAATCAAACTGTCCACTTAGGTAGCAACACTGATTGACTATCAATTTCACATGCTGTTGTGCAAATGGAATAGACAACAAGTGGAAAGCATAGACAGTTAGCAAGACATCCCTAATAAAGGAGTGGTTCTGCAGGTGGTGACCACAGACCACTTCTCAGTTCCTATGCTTTCTGGCTGTTGGTTTGGTCACTTTTGAATGCTGGAGGTGCTTTCACTCTAGTGGTAGCATGAGATGGAGTCTACAACCCACACAAGTGGCTCAGGTAGTGCAGCTCATCCATGAGGGCACATCAATGCGAGCTGTGGCAAGAAGGTTTGCTGTGTCTGTCAGCATAGTGTCCAGAGCATGGAGGCGCTACCAGGAGACAGGCCAGTACATCAGACGTGGAGGAAGCCGTAGGAGGGCAACAACCCAGCAACAGGACCGCTACCTCTGCCTTTGTGCAAGGAGGGACAGAAGGAGCACTGCCAGAGCCCTGCAAAATGACCTCCAGTGGGCCACAAATGTGCATGTGGCTGCTCAAACGGTCAGAAACAGACTCCGTGAGGGTGGTATGAGGGCCCGACGTCCACAGGTGGGGGTTGTGCTTACAGCCCAACACTGTGCAGGATGTTTGGCGTTTGCCAGAGAACACCAAGATTGGCAGATTGGCCACTGGAGCTCTGTGCTCTTCACAGATGAAAGCAGGTTCACACTGAGCACATGTGACAGACGTGACAGGGTCTGGAGACGCCATTGAGAACGTTCTGCTGCCTGCAACATCCTCCAGCATGACCGGCTTGGCAGTGGGTCAGTAATAGTGTGGGGTGGCATTTCTTTAGGGGGCCACACAGCACTCCATGTATTTGCCAGAGGTAGCCTGACTGCCATTAGGTACCGAGATGAGATTCTCAGACCCCTTGTGAGACCATACGCTGGTGCGGTTGGCCCTGGGTTCTTCCTAATGCAAGACAATGCTGGACCTCATGTGTCTGGAGTGTGTCAGCAGTTCCTGCAAGACGAAGGCATTGATGCTATGGACTGGCCTGCCCGTTCCCCAGACCTGAATCCAATTGAGCACATCTGGGACATCACGTCTCGCTCCATCCACCAACGCCACTTTGCACCGCAGACTGTCCAGGAGTTGGAAGATGCTTTAGTCCAGGTATGGGAGGAGATCCCTCAGGAGACCATCCGCCAGCTCATCAGGAGCATACCCAGGCATTGTAGGGAGGTCATACAGGCACGTGGAGGCCACACACAGTACTGAGCCTCATTTGGACTTGTTTTAAGGACATTACATCAAAGTTGGATCAACCTATAGTGTTTTTTTCCACTTTAATTTTGAGTATAACTCCAAATCGAGACCTCCATGGGTTGCTAAATTTGATTTCCATTGATAATTTTTGTGTGATTTTGTTGTCAGCGCATTCAACTATGTAATGAACAAAGTATTTAATAAGAATATTTTATTCATTCAGATCTAGGATGTCTTATTTTTGTGTTCCCTTTATTTTTTTGAGCAGTGTATATTGAAATGACTGAAATGAATTGTGAGGAAGTTTAAAAATGAGATTAATATCAGTGACCAAGCAAAATGGATTAATTGTTTCTTTTTTATTTTTTTATTTTTTTGATACCATAAATAAAATTTTATGGAAGTAAAGGGAGAAAATACATTGCGGAATCTGACTGAAAAGTACAATGTAGTTTATTTTTCTAGGGATTGATTATTACTATAACTAAGTAAAATAGATGTTTAATTGGGAATTACAGATGAGGGAATTAAGACATACTTAAACCACTGAGGTAACATCCCAAAATAGTAAAAAGGGAAGGGAAAATTATGTTTTATGTGAAAAACCTGTATTAATCTAGACTTTATGAAAAGAATATGCAATGGAATTGGAAATTTGACAAGATAAAAAAGAATTAAAAGGGAATAAGTATGAAGATATGGAAACTATTAGTGATTTAAATGAGAAAAGAGTACTTTGGAAAAGGCAATGTTTAAAAGAAACGTAAGGCTTAAGAAATACATTTGAAATAAATTGAAATGAATTGAGAAGATGTTTAGAATGAGAGTAATTTTAATGAATAGCATTAACTTGCTTGTTCCTTTTCTTATTTAAAAGTTGAGAGGTAAAATGAAAGAAGAGTACTTTGGAAAAGGCCACACTTAAAAGAAATGTTAATGTTTAAGAAATATATTTGAAATAAATTGAAATGAATTGAGAAGATGCTTCAAATGAAATATCACTTAACAGAATTAATGTGTTTATTTCTTTTTTTATGTAAAAGTTGAAATGGAGAAGTAATAATAGAATTAAGTTAAAAATAGACGAGACAGAATGTTGAATGTAAAAATGAATATATAATTACTGTATATATATAATATATATAATATTTGCATGTAAAAGTGGTGACTCGGAATTATGTTGTACACTGAAAAGAGCCTTTTTTATGTTGTTTTGGAACAATTGAATACATTTTTTTTTTGTAAAAAAAGAACTGGTTGTTAAGAAAATTGAATCCCACCCCAGGGTTCGGGTTTCTATTTCCTAAGGAGGTCCATTTAGTGGGACCAAGAAGAAGGGCCTTCTCTTTAGTAGCTCTGTCCCTGTGGAGTATTATCCCTGCAGATTGTCCCTCACTTTGACTCTCTTTCGCGAGCCTCTCTGAAGGCATGGTTCTGCCAATGAGCATAGAGATTCCAGAGTGATAGGGAGCCCCTCATTTGGCTGATCCGATTATTGTTACCAGAGGGATGGGGATTTATTGGTTTTGTACTTTGTAAACTGTCCAGAGTCACCAAGAGTTAAGTTTGGCAGCTACATAAATTTTCTAAATAAATAAATAAATATATTTTCTAGTTTGAAAATTGTACTTATCTTTCTTTATCAGTAGGTGGCGATGATTCCAAAAAAACAGCAGCACCACCTCCTCAGCCTAAACCTGGGAGTAATGGCCACAGTGGGGGTAAGTTTTTTTTTTTTCAAAAAGTACATCTTTAGTGCCTACTCATAGAATCATAGAGTTGAAAGGGACTTTGGAGGTCAAACCTGCTCCTGGCAGGAGACTTACAGTATATCATCCCATCGAATGGTTGTCCATTCTATTCTTGAAATGGGGGACCAACAACCACAAGAGGCAAGTTATTTCATTGATTAATTTCTCTCACTGTCAGAAAATTTATCCTTACTTCTAGGTTGTAACTTTCTTTGATAAGCTTCCACCCATTGCTTCTTGTTCTGCTCTCTGTTGCAGGACTCTCTCTAGAGAAAAACTCAATTCCCTCTTCTTTGTGACAGCTCCTCAAATCCTGGAAGAATCATGTCCCCCCAGATCCTTCTTTAGATCTGTCAACTGTTTATGATTTAGCCTTTAGACCCATTATCATCTTTATTCTTCTTCTCTGCACCTTTTCCAGGTCTCAGCCTCTGTTTTGTATTGTAGTGACCAGAACTGGAAGCATTATTCCAAGTGTTGTCTCACCAGTACAGTGTAAAACAGTACTATCACTTCTCATTTTCTTGATGCTGTCCCCCTTTTGATGGAGCCGAGAACTGCATTGGCTTTTTTTTTTTTGGCAGCTGCAGCACATTTCTGGTTCATACTTAAGTGGTGGTTCATTAGGACAGCTAGATCTCTCTCACAGATCTCTCTCTTACTGTTGTTGAGCCATGTACCACCTATTTTAGACCTATGCATTTGGTTTTTCCTTCCTAAATACAGGACCTTACTCTTCTCCACTGAACTGAGTCTTGGGTGCAATGCTCAAATCTGTCAAGATCGTTCTGAATCTTGAGTCTAGTTTTCAAAGTGGTAGCAATTCCCCCAAGCTTGCTGCCATCTGCAAATTTGATAAGTTCCTCTTCTACCCCACTTCTCATGAAGATGTTGAAGAGTCCTGGATCCAAGACTCAATCTAGAGGTATCCCACTGCATACTTCTCTCCATATAAATGTAGTTCCATTGAGAACTACCCTCAATTGATCAGCCGATTGAGAATCCATCTGGTGGTGTTACTGTCTATCTCACATTGTTCTATCTTTGCTGAAGTCCAAGGATACTATGTCCACATCATTTAACTGAAATTTGGTTACTTTATCAAAAAAAGTAATAAGGTTTGTCTAGTATGATCTGTTTTTAACAAACCCACTTTGGATTCCAGTAATGCTGCTGATATTTAAAGCTGTAGTAGTAACAAAAGCCACTCTTGCTTTTGACTTTCATTTATTCCTCCCTGTCAGTCTTGGTGGAGTTACATACTTATACTACCCTAATATTAATTAGGATTTGATCTGATTGTTTATGTGGTTAAAATAAATCAGTATTGTACACAATTGTGCCTACCATCCCTGAACTATTATCCCCAATTATTTGTATCCATTTTCTATATTTATACTTATATCTTGTAATCTATTGACAAATAAATAAATAAATAGAAAGGTCCTTGTCAGCTTCTGTTGGAGGGAAATGTCTTCACAGTAGCTGACAAATACTTCCTGCTTGTGCCATGTCCCTCGGAGAGCTTTCTCATCTTCCTGCCTTCCATCTCCACCCTAATCAGATTAGACAGCGTGATACATATGTACTTTCTTCAACTCCTATATGTGTTATAAGAGCACGGGCCCTTCCCACTTCGACTCTTTTATTCTTACGAATCTTTCCTTCTGTGACTGAATTTGTCCCTGTTAGTAGAGTGTTGTTGAGTCTTCTTGATATGTTCTGCTGTATGTAATGCTTTGAATTAATATTCTTTTTGTAAATAATACTCTTTGTATTTTGTACTTGATAAATAATGTTCTTTATAGATCAGTTCAGTTATACAATCTAAGTGAATACATTTTTCTTAATTGATAAATCCATAGAAATCTCAAAAAATAATAAAATACCATTCAGTTATGATTACTATGAAGAAATTCTGGATACAATTATGTCATCTGCTACTAATATCAGGAGGCCAATTAGCCATATTTTTCTCTTAACAATTTAGTTTATGGTATGTTGCATGTTTTGTACTACTGTCTTTAAATAAAAATGAATAAATCCACTTTGATTTTGAAAAAAGATGATGAATAGGTGTTTCCACAGGTTCTGAAATACCATTTCAAAGGATTTGCACAGCCCACATAAAAGTATTATTTTGTTTTCTTGATACCTGTGTTTTCATAATTATGAAATATTAATTAAAAAACATTTTTCATATTTAGATAGATTTAAAATTTAAAATCTAAGCAACAAAATATGAATCTGTGATATAGTTAAGCTTCTTAATGTAATGACTTAAGCTGGAAATTATGTAAAACTCCACTATGCAAATTGGGGGTTAAATTATATACATTTTAAAGTGTGCTTTTACTCCTCTTGTTATTATTAAAGGATTTGAAGATTCAGATTTATTTGATGGTGACTTGCCACCTGAGAATCCACAATCAGGTATGTTTCAAATATCCACTACATTTAAAATATTAATATAGTTTTATGTAAACTTTTGGATTTGTTTACATATTAAATGGAAACATATGAAAATACTGTAAAGTGCATTCATAAAATTATGCTATCCAGGAATTCCATTTTAACTTCAGTTTTGATTGACATTGGTTTCATTGATTATATTATTAAGTTTATTTGTGTTTTGGAACAAAACTAAAGCCTTTTGTGTGTGTGTGTGTTCTAGTGTGCAAAATATAGTTTGATTTCATCTTAGATAAAATTATTTTTTTATACTCATCTTTTCCAAAATCTAGATGGGAGGTAAATAAATAAAATTAAAATAAATAAAAATTTCATGTTGGATTATATTTGCTAAGAAGGCTGAAAGTGTCCTTAAATGAGACTATATGTCTTCATATTCATATTGTTTTGTTCTAAAGATATATTGTTCGAAAGACCATATTTTAGAAATATGGACAAATGTAGTCTTACACAATATTGTTTAGAAGTCCCATTGGGCTCCATAAGATTGCCAGAACTGTTGCTGCAAAGGAGCCTTCACAGCAGTCTCTATACTAACATGCATGTGACACATTGCTTGGGTCTGATGATATGCTGAATTGTTTACTATAATGTTTCCTTATAACTTTGATGCTGCTTTTCCCATTTTTAATAGCATGATTTTTTCTAAAAAATGTTGGAGTTGTTTTTCTAAAACAGATTTAAGCAGAACAATGTTTTTACAGATCATCTTCATTTAGCAACAATTGGGTAACTTGGTAGTAACTTGGTAGTTAAGTGAAGCAGTTGCTAAGTGAAACTATTACTGTGCTTATATGTTTATCCCAGCTATCCTTTGCTTTACAAATTTCAAATGCGCAAGCTGGTCACAAAGTTACTCTTTCCTTATTGTAATAGCAATAGACTTATATACCACTTCACAGTGCTTTACAGTCCTCTCTAAGCGGTTTATAGAGTCAGCATAATGCTCCCAACAATCTGGCTCCTCATTTTACCCACCTCAGAAGGATGGAAGGCTGAGTCAACCTTGAGCCGGTGAGGATTGAACTCCTAGCTGTGAGCTGAATTAGCCTGCAATACTGCATTCTAACCACTATGCTACCACAGTTCTTGGTGCTACTATAAAGTTTCTGTAACAGCAAGACAAGTAAACCAGGGACGTGAAATTCAATTTCATTGAGGGCTGCATCAGGGTTGTATTTGACCTCGGGGGGCGGGGGGTTCAAGTTCACTTGTGCTGGGGGTGCGTGTGGTGGCCTGAACGCTCTGACAGCGAAAACAGGCTCCTGAGATCCGTTTTTGGCTGCGACAGTCTCCTGCAACCCTCTGCCAGCAAAAATGGAGCTCGCGAGGGCTGCCCATGGTCCTCCCGAGTTCCGACACCATGGGCCAGTCCTCCACTATTTCCAAGGCAGCCTCATACTCTAGATCTGGCCCTCGGGCCTTGAGTTTCACACTCCTGAGCTAGACCATTAAAGAAAGCCTACTTGTATTGCTACTCTGTAGGACCAGCTTCTGATTTCATGTATAGGTTTGCATGTACAACTCAGAGAAACTTATTATTTGATTCTGAGTTATCTCTGAGCATAATTTGAATGTTTCAAGAATAATGTGATTGCTGCTTCTCATACTATTTTTTTTTTTAATCTAGGCCATCCTTCTAATCCTTCCTCAGGTATGTAGGCTGTTATGAACATATGTTTCTTTTCTTACGCTAAACTCTTCTTTAAAGGTGGAGCATCAGATACTTCTTACAGCATTGATTTTCTTGCTGTATTCATTTGTTTTGATGTGCACATGTGTTAATGATTTAGTAAAATCTTCCTCCCAGGATTGTGAACTTTTTCATTTAAAATGAAGAAGGTCAAAGCTTGTTTATAAAAAGCCATCATGGTTTTTTTTAATAATGTAAGGGCAGTCCTTAATATTTTATAGGCAACTACAGAATAGAAATATTTTAATTCATATAAGCTTCAACTTATTCATTTTATAACCTATTTAGTATTGTTTATTAAAACAAAAAGCATAATATACTGTATGTTTAATAAGACATTGACTGTTAAGCAGCCACAATAGGAAGACACATAAGACTTCATTTGATTGTTACTCGCAAACATGCTATATCAGGTATAAAAGGAGTTTTTTTAAAAAAAAAGAATTGACAAAGCCACAGTATAGAATGTATGGCATGTATGACTATTATGACTTATAAAATCAACTTTGATTCTATCAATCCTGCTAAAATATTTTCAACATAAATAAAAGTAGTTTTATGCAAAAAAACCAGATGAAATAAGAATATAACTAGACAGTGATACTGCTTCTTCCTATATAATTGAAACAATGGCTTTCCTTCTGAGCAAACATAATAGTTAATTTAGTGCCTTGTTTTGCCATATTAATTTGATGTGACTGTGTGTGATCCATCATGGGTACTTCAGTTGAGAATTAAATATATTAGTTTAATTGCACAACTGAAAACATTATCTCTACTACTTTAGTGTAAGTAGTATTTTTGCTATTTAGTGGCATGCCATTTTCCCTTAAAATTCAACTTCAAGCAAAGCTGTCAAACACATTTTAATCTAAATTCCTGCTGTTAGAAGGGGAGATAAGTTCATTGACTTAAGAGGTAATTTCCTATGATTTTATGGTGGAGAATTCATGTAAGAAATTTAAAAGTTTTACCTTTAAAAGTAGCTTATTGCCAAACATATTGGAACATCTTTGAGTAATTGAAAAATGAGTAACACTTTAGCAAAAAACATACTATACAAGCAATATATAATAAGGATTAATTTTAATAAGGCTTAATTTTAAGCATGGGGACGTAGACATACTGATTTAAACAGTTTCAAATATGAAACACCCCATTTGAACTTAAATGTTTGGAAGATCTCCTGATTTCAAACATGCATCAAGGTTATTTCATTAAAAACCCTGGTTTCTCTTTTAGCCCATTTTCTGTCTTGTACAGCATGACTTTATGGTATATGATAAGCCTTGTTTAATCAAACTATTCTTTGGTTAAAGGTGGGGATAGTTCTGGCTCTGCTGGAGGTAAGCTTTTCTTTTATTCCGTTGTTATAACTTGCCCCACATTTTGAATGGTCCTTGGATGATAAAGTTAGATTTCTAATTGGGGGAACTTCTTTTAAGCTTGGTCCCTTATCTGACTCATCATATCGTCGAGAAAACATTCTATCATCACATCGAATCGATAGCTAACCATCTCGTCTCTACTTCAAGGACGAGAAGTTTCAAGAAAGTTGCCAGATAAATTAGATCTGAACGTAGACTTCTGAAGCATGATCTTCCACCACATGCATTATATGCCCATTTACACCAGAAAAGGTGTAGAGGAGGCTGGATTCTTTACAGACGCTGAAGGATTTGATGGTATGTTCCCAGAAGGACTAAAGAACAGTGAACCAGCAACTGAATGTAGGCTTGCTTCCTTTTTTTAGTTCCATACTATAACTCAGGATGGCTTCCTCCTATATTCAAGAAGATCAAAATTATTGCTATTTTTAAACCAGAGAAGGATCCAATCTTCTCTCAAGTTACAGACAATTGCTCTTTTCGGTGTTATCTACAAACTTTTAGAAAGAGTTGTGTTAAACAGAATAGCCCTCACAGTAGAATCTGTAATCTAAGTAGAACAAGCTGGATTTCAACCCAAACGTGATTGTAGCAATCAAGTCAATGTATTAATTTCCTACCTGGAGAATGGATTCCAAAAGAAAATGAAAAATGTCTCTGTTTTTCTTGATATCTCAGTGGCCTACAATACTGTCCGGAGAGAAGGACTTCTTAAATTAATCAAGGTTATACCATGTTACAACACCATTGCCTTGATTGACAACATGTTGAATTACAGATTCTTTCAAGTTTTTTACAGAATTCAAGAGACACAGATATCATAAGTTGAATAATGGACAACTACAAGGATCAGTGCTATTCCCTGTTCTTTTTAACTTGTACATCCATGACCTGCCTGGAACCGTTTCTTGGAAATTTATTTATGCCGATGGTACCAATCTTACAGTCCAAAGAACCAACTTCAGTGATGGAAAGGATCCTTTCTCAAGATCTCCAGAAGCTGGATGACTACTTCAAAAAATGCTGCCTCCAATCAAGCCTAACAAAAACAAAAGTAGCCACATTCCACGTCAGCAATAGGTATGCAAATTACCAGCCTTCAGTGAAATTCCGGAACTGTAATTTACAATGTAATAATTATCTGAAGTAGCTGGGTTAACACTGGAGAGATCACTAACCTTCTGGCAACACCTAGCCATGAAATTGAAAAGCAGCAACAATTTACTGAACAGACTGGCTAGAACACTCTGGGGTGCTGATGCTAACATCCTGCGAATAACAGCCTTGGCTTTGGTTTATTCCACAGCTGAATATTGTTCCAACATGTGGCTTAACAACGCCTACATCCAAATTGGCACTGTCCAACTCCACCAGACAATACGTATCATCTCTGACACGTTGCATCCTACTCCTGTGCACTGATTACCAGTACTTAGCAATATCATACTATCCCACGTTAAAAAACACCAAGCTCTCATTCGGCTGTAGTCAAGGATACTGAGCAACAAGGCCCTCCTTATTTACCAGGATAATGCACATCCCTTCACAAGCTTGAAATCCTGATGTTAAGCTATTTGCTTAACATCTACCCAGTTTAACCCTGAGAATGCCTGGAGAGAGCATTCTTAGATACCTTCCAACCATTAATAATCCCTCTATCAAACCATCTGGTTTTGACCTGCCTTCCTTTATCTGGTCGAAATTGAACAAAATTAAGTGTGATACTGGAAGAAGTGCTTCTACCCTGGATCAGTGGGGATGGAAAGATTCCGCTTGTTGTGGTGCTGATATGCAAACTGTTAAACATGTTGCGCAAGATTTCCCATAATGGGCATCTCTGGTTCCTAGAAAAACTGCACAAAACAATGCAATCGAAATTGCATCGCCTGGATAGCTGAATTGGACATCCATTTATGAAGCCATTGCCATACCGCCATAGAAGTTTTACTTATAATTATGTGGACTATGTATATATGCTTACTTCTATTCTGTCATGTTATCATCATATGCTAAATAATAATAATTTCTAATTGGGGAAAATTCTTTTCACAGATTCTCCAGGCATGCTAGCTGGCATTATTAGTTCCGTTGTAGTGGCAATAGCTGGAGCTATTTCAAGTTTTATAGCATACCAAAAGAAGAAGCTTTGCTTCAAAGCAAGTGGTAAGTTGCAATCAACCTGACTTGAAACCCCAAAATCTTGGGATTGTAAGATCTCCTAAAATAATTGCTTTAACTAGATTCCCAATGTAATTGAAAGCTCACAATTTGAAATAAACTGTGGATGTAGAATGTTAGTTACTCTGTTCAAGGTTGAGCTGAAGATATATGAATGTAAGGTATTTTAATTGAGCTTGTTTCTACAGATCAAGAAAACATTCCTGTGGAAAGCCAGCAAGGAGCACATGCAGCACCATCTGGTAAGGTCATAAATAAAGAGCTTTTAAAAATTACATATACAGCATTGTTCACCTGCAAAAGTGGCTTGTATTTGTGCTTTTGTGCAGCTTAGGTAATTTTATCAAGCCACATCTACAGTGCCCCATTTAAGAAAAAAAAAAGCATGGTTTTCTTCAGCCTAGTGTCTTCATTTTCTTGTATTGCTAATTTTTGTATTGTAGATTAGATACAGTTAGCTCAGTTAGGAGAACTGACTGGACCAAGACCATTGAAATAGGCCCTTGGAAATAGGTGGGATTTGCTTGGAGATATTTTAAGCTCGTTTGAATTTGATGGTAAATGCAAAGTATTGCTCAGAGTAGATTTAACCAGATATAATTACTACATTTAAGACAAAGCTCATGCTATTAGAATTAGGTTTCATTTTGTTCCTTCCACAGAAGACAGTGGGGATCTTTTCTTCATTTGTTTGTCACTTTGCAAAGTTTCAAACAATCTTCAATAGTCAAAGAGAGTCCAGATTTATATATATGCATACTTGTCCTTTATCATTTTATCTTTACTTACAGCTTTTCTCTAGCATATTAAAAACTTTCCCTAACGTTTTCAATGTTTAATCAGAATCCTGAAATCTAAGAATCCTGTTATATGTCAGAAATTAGGAAATAGAAGTCATTTTAGGATTTTTTTTTAATGAAGAAAATTTCCAAAGTAAAAGGAATAATTGCCATAAGGAAATTATGGAACTGGGATGATAATAAAGCCCAAGTGGGTTACATTTAAAGAAAAGCGAAGCAAAGCTGCCTTTCTGTCTTGGCTTTTTATTTATTTTCAACTTTAAACTAAGGAAAGCACCAGCCACTATCCATTTACAATTATGCCTCAGACTCAGAAAGAGCCTTTAAAGCAGCGGTCTCCAACCTTGGCCACTTTAAGACTTGTGGACTTCAACTCTCAGAATTCCTCAGCCAGCTTTGCTTTGCTGGCTGAGGAATTCTGGGAGTTGAAGTCCACAAGTCTTAAAGTGGCCAAGGTTGGAGACCCCTGCTTTAAAGGAAAGTGAGAGAGAGACTTTCGCAATATTTTACAACCCACCCGGTTGAGGAAAAAAAGGAAGAGAGTAGACAACCTTAGACAAGCAGTTTGCTCTTTCTTTAAATACTTAAAAGTATTTAATACTTTTTTAGGACAATCTGTTTAAATCTGGTAAGAACCAAATGCATTTAGTGATACTTCGTGTTCAGGATTACAACATTAACTGGAAAAATTAATACTGTAGTTGTAATTATACATATAATTATCAGTTGGCTATGGCTGAAATGAGTCAGAAGCTTGACAGCAGTTTTCTTTTAGTGGGTCAAGAATAATGACTGAGCCACCAGAGAATTTGCTATGCTAATAGGCCAAGTTATAGTGTCTCTTAAGCTTACCTATTTCAAAAGAGAGAGAGGAAAATTAAAAAAGAACTCTACATATATCTTTGTGACTTCCTTATGTGGGATAAAATGTAACATTTGAAATATTGTACTGTACAGGTACTGAAATATGATTTTGCCTTTCATAATTCCCCATCTGTAATTTTTTTAAGCATTTCAACCCCAATTAGTAGCTTGTACATTTGTTATTTAAGCTCATATTAATAGTTTGGATGTTTCTTATTTAAGTGTTTTCATAAATAAAAAATGGGGAATCTCTACCTGTAAGGATGGAAAAGATGTTTAGCCTACTTGGAGGTTTTTTAAGTATTATATTTAGATGAGCTATGACAATTTTCAGTTGTGACCTATATGTTTTTCATTTTCTGTCTGTTCAGGTAGTATATAGTAACAAAGAATATAACTTTTTTCATTATTTTTCTCCTTGTAGTTCAACGTACACTTTTGCAGAAACAATAGCAGAATTTGATACGAAGAGAAGAGCAGAAACTGGATTTGTAGCCTGCATAATTCCCTGAAGGAGCAACACAATGGAATTGCAAAGTAGATCTTTAAACAGGCCTGTTGAAACATCTGTAGAAAAGAAGTGTGATGTTTCTAACCAATGAAAAAATATTTTCATCCACCAATTTACCCTTTGAAGTTCAATTGTACACAGGGTGATTGTTGTTTTTCAAATGTATTTTTATGGCATTTGTTGATTGGATTAAAGTTTTTCCCCCTCTTTTCTCTCTCCCCACTCCCCACTTTTTTGTAGCAAGAACTTTGAAAAGGGAGATGGGTGTACTTGTAAAATACCTTTGGGCAAAGTGTTCACTATGGAAAGCTATGTTGATTTTAGATATCTCCAAGAAGTACAGTTTGATTTTACATACTGATGGATATCACACCATATGGATAAGGCCAGCTATTTAGATTATGGGGGGGGGGCACAAGTTTGCTCTTATCAGATGAGTGGCTCTTAATACTCAGTTGCTCACTTCATAGTTGAAGTTACATGTTATAAATATTAAGAATCGACTTAGGGCTAAGTCCTAAATTCATAAACATTAACATTTTTCCTTCTACGTGTTCTTGGTCACATTTAGAAAATTTGACATAAAGTAAATGCCTTATCTGACTAGCAAACCTTTTAAAATTTTATCACTGTATGCAAGTACATAGGAATTGAAGGCATTAAAAAAATCTAAGTTGCCTTAATGTTTTGATTTGAAATAATCTTAAAATAACCCTTATGTTTGCATCTGAAGGTTTATTACTTGTGTGTAGTGAGGCTGTATTTGTGAGCTGCATGGTGCTGGAAACAAATGTGATTTTAAAGAACATACACCATTCTCCTACAGGTTTTACAACACTTACTGGGATGAAATCCAAAACACTTTATAGCCATAAGATGAATCTATCATCTTCACATCAAGTTTGCTTAGAGTCAGCATAGGAAATGTTTGCTATGACTCCTGGTTCCTACTGCCAACATCTGCCATTGGTAGACCTTAATTAAATGTGACAATATAGCTAAGGTATATAGTGGCTTAGGTTCTTAGGCCAATTATGACCAAATATGATAGGGAATGGATCCTGGATTTCAATGACAGGTTACATGCAACACAGCCCCATCCTTCCCCACACGGTCAGTTCAACAAGGGAGCTTCTTTATATTAATGTTTTGGTATTGGGAGGTTAAGATTTTGGTGTGATGGTAGGAGAAACTCAAGGGTCTAAGCTTGCTTAGTCAAGCTTCCTTAGGGTTAGCATTCTGACTGGGAAATGCTGGGAATTAAATTCAACACATGTTAAAGATGCCAAGCTTGAAAAACATTGGTTCAAATAAACACTTCCAATTCTGTGATTTTTTTTAAAACAGCGATTAAATTGCACTATAATAATTTAGAGCTACTCCAAAATTTTGATGATATTATTTTGAGGAAGTTACTTTGGGGAATCATTGGAGCTGAATACTACTTGCCCATTTTAAAGTAGCTTGTTGGAGTTATTTACTATTCGTTTCAGAGGGGGGAATAAGGTTGAGGTCAGGCATATTCCTTGCTAAATTATAAACTTAAGCATGTGAACTAGTCCATAATTGGCTCTTCTTTTGCATAATTGGCTCTTTTTATTCCATCATAAAATAATTTTTCAGTAATGGAGTTTAATTACTTAAAACTGCATGTGCCTCTGATTACAGAATTTGCCTTACAGTTCATAAGTGCCCTATTTCTATGCTTTACATTTCATAGACTTATTTGTTTGTGCAATATTTTTTTTAAAAATACATGATAAACTTCAATTGCAGATGCCTTATGTACAATACCTTGAAGTGCCAATAAATGAATTGACTAGAAATGTGAGCTAAGTATTTTATATTGTTTCATTAAAAGGAGATTTGGAAATAGTCACTTGTGACCATGTAAATTGAGTTAAATATCCTACTATAATTACATTTGTGATAAACTGAAAACAAAAATGAAATTGTCAAGAAATATGGGTGTCATATTTAAAGGGAACTCATGTAATTTCAAGTTAAGCATCATGCCAAAGTAAAGCAAATCTTTGCATAATGTAATATGTGTATACATTGCCTTCTAGACATGAGTATTGGGTCAACTTCCAATTTAAATTAGAGACAAGTTAGCTGTATAAGCGATGTATGGTTTTTTAAGTTGCACTTTGCATTTCAGTAAAAGAAATAACAGTTTTGGGTCATGAGAATATAGCATACATTCAGCACCAAATCTTAATACATTCAGCAAGAACCTGCATTTTGAAGAAAAACGTGTGCATGAATTAGTTGATTGCAATTAGCTTTTGCTAAGTGGCGATATTTCTATATAATCCTTATTTCGTAAACCAGGACTGATGCAAAAAATGATTGCTATTGATAAAGGTATTTGCGTGTTTTTACCGAACAGAAGGACTTTAGTTCTAACCATAAATATACCAAACTACTTGTGGCAAACGAAGCATGCTTTATTGAATAAGCTGTCTTCATCTATTTGTTCTTCCTCATCCACCAGCAGTGGTTTGTTTTCAGTTTATCATTTGTTTCCCTGGTCCTTATCTGCAGCTGATGAGACAGTATCGCCATGATTTATCAAAAACAAAACCCTGGAGAAAATTGTTTGGCTGGTTGGTATTGAAAGCTCGCTGCAGAGTTTAAATCATCAAATCCAGACACCTGTCTACTACTGAAGATGAGAAGTACTAGCAGATGCAATAATAATATATTAGCCAGGAGGTCTCATGTTATTCCAGTGTTCACACTTCGTTATAAAAATATTGAGAACATGTTTGGAATACACACTTAATAGTGTATCCTATACATTTAAAAAAAATGGGAATAAAGTTTCATATAGTACCTTACAGTATTCCAAGTAAATGTGCATAAGAATGTGCAGACGTGACTGCACTTCTGCATGTATTTGGATGTAAATACCATTAAACTAGATAGTATTGTTCTTTGGAAGGAATGCATATGATTAGGCCATCTCCTTAAAGTAAATCATTGCCATGGGTTGACAATATAATACATGTGTGCCATGTGAAATATATAGTTCTGTATGTTTAATTTTTAAGTAGTTTTGTGGCTCTTTAGATTATGAAAATTTCTAAATATTTGGTAATTAAAACTTGTCATTTGTTTTAAATAAAGAAATCTAAAATTATTTGCCTGGTTATTTTGAGAGAATGAACTTACTGGGTTGAATTGTCTATTTTTAGAAGAGGATTGGAGTTCTAAACCAAGTAGAAGTGGTTTATGAAATATGAACACCCATTTTTTTGACCAGATAGGTACCTGGATTCATTTTGATGAAAAGATCATTGGCATGTAAAGTAATATCTTGTGTTTATCTTGGAATATGTTTGTGCTGGATATTCCATTACGTTCCATTGATCTTCAGATAGATTCAAGTCAAATATATTTGTATAAATTCAGCTATATTTATACAATATGTTATAGGAATGCCATATTGAACAACTTTTGATATTTTGTTTACACTAGCAATTCCATTGAGTAATTAGAAAATGGTATTACTTCTCAGATGTATTCACAGAGGATTACGAAGGCTAAGCAATCCAAGATAAAGCAAGATAGTTGTTTTTCATTTGATCAACTAAATTCTGCAGTTTATACATCATGGAAACTTGGTTCATGCTTGTGCTTGTTCATGCTTGTATTTAATACAAGTAGTCCTTGACATATGGCTACAATTGAGCCCAACATTTCTATTGCTTAGCAAGATGGTTGTTAAGTGAGTTTTGTCCCTTTTTATGACCTTGCCACAGTTCTTAAGTGAATCACTGCAATTGTTAAGTTAGTAACACAGTTGTTAAGTGACTCTTCACCACTGACTTTACTTTCAGAAGCATAAAAGATATCACATGACGCTGGGACACTGCAACCATCGAAATACACACCATTTGCAAGCATCCAAATTTTGATTATGTCACTATGGGAATATTGTAATGGTCATAAAAGGTCATAAATGTGAAAATGATCATAAGACTTTCAGTGGCCATAATTTTGAATGGTCACTAAATGGTTGTAAATCAAAGATTACTTGTTTGCCAAATAAGTATAAATTAGTAAAATACTAGCCATTGTACAGATGAAACTGCCTATTTAACTCTGGGTTACATACCTGTATGAAGCACTAACTAGGCCTGGAGCCTTGCAAGTGCGTAATTCAGCAGTTGTAGATCAGAGGTCTTCAAACTTAGCAACTTTAAGACTTGTGGACTTCAACTCTCAGAATTCTGGGAGTTGAAGTCCACAAGTCTTAAAGTTGCCAAGTTCGGGGACCCCTATTCTAGATGAACTTTTTGTGGTCTGCTCTACACTCTGCAGCTGACTGGAAATTACAGTCTGGGAAAGATTCTGGCTTCTTGAAATTCAGCATGTTTCCTTTACGTCTTTCAGCACTGATCAAACAACTTCACCTAGCAACATCCAGATATTTTACAATATTTAAGGACAGAAAGTAGATGAATGAAAGAAGTAGTATTTTTCTAAGTATTTAACAATACATTTCCAATAAAAATAACAGTTCCTAATTTCCATAGATTTAATAGAAATAATCTATACAACATTATTCTCTTCAGGATGAGTGCAAAGTATGTGTGTGTTTTTTATACCATACCAAGCTTGTCTTTATTGAGTTTTAGAAAATAATTTTACAAAGGTTGAGTATTTTCTTTGAAGAGAGATGAGTAAGGAAAACATTTGATTCAGGCCTCTTTGGGGCTGCCAGCAGTTTGATTCTTCCCACTTTCTCAGTGTAAATGCCTCTTACTACGTATTAATTAAGGGATGATTCTTGCAACAACTATGTGTGGGTGTTGTACTAAACAGCTGCCAAATGTTAAGATAGTTTATGACTGGATTGTGTTTTGTTCCCACCTTCCCTGTTAATTGGACATTTAAGGTATCTACAAGATTTGAAGATATTTGTGGTTGGACAGATACATACTTTACTAGGATATTTTTTTTGTTCTAATACTTTTACTTCTAATACTTTTACTTCATATTATACAAATAAAACCAAGACAGAAGATCATGGTGAAGCTTCCAGTTGTTTTTTTGTGCATTGGATATGTTCTGTTAACTTTTGCAGGTAAGTTATTGGACTCTGGTTTTGGTGATGGATACTATGTGTAATATTGATGTAATTTCAGTGTTTTTCTAAAGCAAAGTATTTTAGTCTTGAGTAATATCAAAAGGTAACTTATGTATTTCAAGGTTGGTAGGAAACTGACTTATATCAAGTTGTATGTTAACTCAATAGCATCAATATGACAGTCAATTGAACCTATGATGTATCAGAGACTATGCCTTCTATGGCTAACTTCAGATGTACAATTATATGCAGGTGAAGCTTTGAATGAAAATCACTAACATGAGTTGGAATTTTTAAAAAGTGATCTGTCATTTGTTCCTGGTGCTCACGCAATTACAGAACAATTTTTAATCTTCTAGTTTGAAGCATGGTATTTTGAAAAAGTAGGAGCTAGACAACTGCAGGTATTATTCGATGCTACTTATTTTTAAAATAGCTTTCAGCTATATTTTAGATTTTTAGAATAAAAATTATATTGGACTTGGATGCATAGATAGAGCCGTTCTAAAACAAAAATCCTTCAATTCTTAAACTTTTCAACAGTTGATGCCAATTATCACCATTTTGTTTGCTATGACTAGAACTTGCTCTTCTATTTTCTTCTAGAAATAAAAATAGATAGATAGATAAATTTATTGTCATTGTAGTCAGAAACCTGAGAACAACGAAATAATCTCTAACATGAAGTTGGGATCATTTTATTTACTTTTTGTTCAAATTTATTCAGGATAAATGTTTATGAAGTTTTAACATGGCATGTCAGCACATCTGCTAAATTATGAAATTATGAATATCTTTGAAATGAATTAAGAACTCATCATTGGAAACCTGTATAGTACAGAAAATATTCATTTAGTTTTATTTCATTGTAAGCCTATCTACTAAAATATTGAAGCTGATACTGTATTTTACAATGCAAACAATCCCATCATGATATATTCATTATTTAAAATTATCAAGTTGATTCCCAAATTATAACAATACATTCATGTATAATTTACAAAATGATTTTAGTTTTTATTAGAACTTTGGAATATAATCTAAGTTAATAAACATAAACAAAACAAATGTATCCAGATATTATAGAACTTTAATTCTTATCTCAAGTAGAGAACTCATAAATCTTATCTCATAAATCTTATCTCAAGTAGATTATCATGAGAATTTGATTCAAATAATAACTAAACTGTAATATGTAGTATCTTCATACTAACTCTAGAATCTTCTCCATTCAGCAAAGCTATAGCATTTCATTTACAGTGATAGAAAATAATAATAATAATTAAAGTCTGTCTTCTCTTATTACAATTTGTAGTTATCAATTTTGTAGTCAGAGACAAATAACCAGGAACAAGAGTCCAAACAGTAAAAATTTATTACATGTTATGTATACACAAGAATCTGATTTACTAATGTTCAAGGTAAATTGGCACCAAATATAGGCCCACAGAATTAACAGGGGGCTGGATATAGGTCTCTAATGGGAGCGGAAAGATTTCAAACTGATGACATGTTTGATCTCACCACCGAGGCAGCCAACTTATCTCCTACAATTTTAATGGAAGATATGACAAATTTAGTAAATTATTAAAGTCTCCAAATTTTATGAAAAATCTCTGGATAAACCTTTGAAAATGTTTCTCTGTGCCTTCTGAATTTAAAAAGTGTTAACCTTTGTATAAATGTGCTGGTCTGTAACCATAATAAATATTGAGCGATTGTATAAATTTGATTTCATCATACAGCTTTGATTGGAAATCTCTGTCTCGTGTTTTTGATCAAATGTCTTTAACTATACAATCTGAAGCATATTCAATGACTAAATTACTAAAGTGAAAGCCTTTTTTTTCTAAGCTGAAAGAAAAACTATTACTGGAAAAGTATTACAGCTGGTTCTCTTTGTCTGCAATGGATAAGAATGAGGAATGGGAATGTTAAAGAAAAGAAGATGGTTAATGTAAATTTGGTCAAAGTAATCTGTGCACTGTGCAGCTAAATGAATCTAGATTCTTATTTTGAAATGTTCCAGCCTTTAAACATAATACTTATTAAGTCAAGTATGTGGAATTTCTTGTTCTAAAATAATTGCATTGGGAGTTGCCTCTTTATGTAACTACAATTATGAATTCACAAGCAGAGACAGCTCTACATGCAAGCAGTGTGCTTCACAAGATGTGTTCGTTGTGATCATTATTAATATAAAACATAATAAATCGTATATGTTTGGTGGGGAACTTCCATTCTTCCTTTTCTGCATATGAGCCATATATCAAAAATACTTCTTATATTTGCTATAGAGCTTGTATTTCCCACCGTCTATCCTTGATTCAGTCTTGATTAATAAAGATAATGTGAAAATTATTTTCACATGTATTTTCACAATAATACATTAACCTGACTTTTAAAATGTCAATTATATTGTCACAAACTCACATTATTTCATTTTTACAGCTTCTAAGCCACATGAATATGTCCATGCCCCCTCATTTGTTGGATACAAATCAGAAAGAGGCATGACTCAGACAGCATCATGCTGGTATTATTAATAAGTACTGTATTTTATTTTATTTACTTTCCATCCCAATTTTCACCGCAGTGGCCATATATTTCTTCCACATTTCCATAATCCTTTGAGTTTTGGGACTTGAGTGCTTGATTGTCATTTTAGTCCCATTTTAAACCTACAGTTTCTCTTAACTAGACTGTTTTTTCTCAGTCAGTTTTATAACGATTTTTTTTCACACTTACCATCAACTTTTTCTTCTCATTTTTTCCAGAACCCATTATTCATTATTTTTGTATTTGTATCTCTTTATGCTGAAATTCTAGTCCATTATTGCTTTGTAATAGGAAGGAACTGCACTTTTATTGCTGGTGATCTATGCAGCAACTTTCCCCACGGTTAATTATGAAGATTCAGTGACAATAGTATAGTTGTTTATCTAACACTTCTTTCAAGGATTCAATTCGAGATTATAGTGCTGCCCAACCTTCTCTCAGTCCAGTAACCAATGCTCTTTGTCTCTGTGTTGGGTACAGTAATCATTTTTGTCCATCCCATATCTTATGAACCTTATTCATGCCATCTTGTGAGTGCTGTCCCCTTGGTGTTGAGTAAGCAGCATAAATAGACCAATACGACATTCAACTAGCCAATTAAAAAAAAAAAGATCTCCCAAAGATCTCCTTGACCTTTTTTGATCCTTTTCCTATATTTGCTTTTGCAATAAGAAAACAATTTATAAAATAAATACACTGGAGGGGGAAAAGGCAGCCTGATAGTGTTGGGCAAATGGCAAAGAGGACCTTCAGACTGACTGAAAAAGGGAGTATAGTGGCAAAACACAACAGTGTCCTGACCTCAATTGAGGCAGAGGAACTTGGCAGAGGGAGCTGAGAAGAAGAGTAAACTTTGAACCAATAAGATACCATTCATCTCACAATGTCAGAAGTTTGCACATTTCTTTAGTGCAGCAGCTGAACCAAAGTTTAATCAACTGGCAAAGATGTTCATAGAACATTGGGGTCACGCTTGATATGGTGGGGGCATAGGAATAGGCCAGTCTCTGATACAGTCTTTTTTATGTCCATAATATAACTGAAATCATTGTGCTGACAGATAGTCAGCCCTTGGAAATAGATATAATCTAGAATTTTAATGGGATTAAGGGATTCTCACATAATCTTGAAGACCTACCAAAACCTCTCCTGACTTCAATTTATATTGTATAATGGCTGATTGAAAAATATTTCTTTGGAGTTTCTTTCTTACACAAATCAGATATCTTTTTTCCCCTAATAATTCTACATACTACAAACCTCAATCACACTGTCATTACAGAATACCACACTCTGGGTCCATCAATCATGCACATGATTTGTCACAAAAAAAAAAATGTGTAATTCTTTTTGGAAAAAATATAGTAGATCTTTTCTCACCAGCATCCATAATCAGAAAGTTTCTTTTTTTTTTTTGCACAGCAAAAATTGAATTTGTAGTGAATTTCAGCAGCTTATTTCAGATGTCTCCAATGTATTCTACATGATATATCTGTGCAATATTCATATAACTGATTGTTGGTTAGTGAAAGCTCATAGAACTTGTAATTGTGAATTTATCTGTCATTGATCAAAAATCTTTTGTACATGAAATTTTATGACTAGTGATGGGCAAAAAAGGAAAAAAAGTTACTCAGGAACTGAGTAACAATAATACATTTGCATTGTTCCTAACATCAAGGATGCCACGATCAACCTCACTATATGATATTACCATATGAAATATGGCAATATTTTTACAGGCCACCCTGTGGAAACAGGGGCTATGTAGGACTCACAGCTCATTAATGGACATTTCAATAATGGCTGCTGGTAGCATAAAGTATTTTCATACAACTGTAGCAATATACACTATGTACAATATGTAAATGTAGTGACTGTATGGAACATATCAAGAGTTTTATACTAACATATGGAGTATGGAATATAAACAAGTTGATTAGGGCAAGAAAAAGGGCAACAAGATGTTTTTAAACTCTTTAATGTTTGTGTTTCTTTTGATAGACAATGGCGATTTTGACTTAAAAGATGCCCTTGACCCAAGTGAGTATATTAGAAAACAAAAAATTACTGAGCAAGGCAAATGTTTGGTCCCACAGAATAGGTTTAGGAATAAGCAACCTTTTCTTTGCATTTTTTTTAAAATTACCTAAGAGAGGCAAAGGGAACAAGAGTGTAATTTCAGACTTGTTTTTTAGCCATTTTTATGAATACCATTGATAAGTTTGTAAAGAATATTGGAAGCTTAAAATACCTATTTTATTTGTATATTCTTCTGAAAATAACAAATATGAATTCTATGATATTAATAGTTATTAGTAGGCATGTGTTCTTGATAATTTAGGGGGCCTTAAAAACGAAGAGTTCAGTTGCCCAGCTTGGGCTAATTCTGAGGGTTTATTATTTCCAGCAAAGAGAGGATAGGATTGTGTTGTAAACAGCATAATGAGTTTTAGAATTGACAACTAATTTATTTATGTAAGCCTTCTTTTTGAAAATCGTAATAATACAGTAATGTTCATTTACTTTGCTTAGATGATAAGCCTTCTGAACCAACAAGAAAGCCACCAGGGGGTAAGCATTAAATTTAAGCTGATCAAATAAATACCACAATGCTAAAGCTTTCTCTGTGCCAGATCTAAAACTACAACTGAAACTTTCCCAATAGCCTTTAAGGAGTTTTTCCTAATATACTGCTGGTTTGGATATTGTAACCCTTTCTGGAGTGGTTTGCTCATTTTCCCAGAGTCCAAGTCCTGCTTAATTCTTAAAAAAGAATGCCATTTCTTCCTACCCCTTTCTACCAATTGCCCAATCCTAATGGTTATTGTAAGCAAAGATAAATATATTCTTCCAGTATTGATAACAAGAATAATAATTGGCATTTATGGACATTGTAATCCAAGGTGTTCTTCTGGAGAAGAATGGATTAAAAAAATGTTTATTGTTCTTAAAGAAATAAAATGTACGATGAAGAGATTTATTTTATATCTGGAAATATTTATCCTAGGTAACAAACCTCGACCTAACTTATATCCTGACCTTAGACCATATTCAGATAATCATGGAAATGGTGGTAAGAACAGAATTTGTGTTGTTTAGATCCATTCATACTATTTTTCTTTTCACTGGTTTGATTGTGTTTATTGATTTGTAATATGTTGATTCAGGAAATTCCTTTAATGGTGGCGGTGGCGGTGGTGGAAGCTTTGGAACTGGTAAGATTTCATTTTGTTATTTGAAATATTTGCTATCTTTCCAGCCTTATCATTTAAATATACATCAATAGTATTGGAACATATTGAGCAGCTAATTTAATTTTTAATACTTTAAAGAAAATACTATTCATATCATCTATATTAATTAGTTTGTAAAGTAGATGTATGTATAAAGGAAATACTATGTAAAGTTGAGCTACACCGCTCCTGAGATTGAATAGCATACATGTGAAATGTAAATGCAAGAAAATGTGAGTGGCAGTTGGCTGCAGGAATTTGCATGACCTGGAAAGACCTGAGTTGTGAAACGAGGCCACAACAATTTTCTTTGGTGTTGCTTCCTTGCAAGATTCCTCCTTACCTGACTTTCAGTTTAGTCCATACATAGGAATCTGCTTTGCTATTCTGCATGACTGCTTTGGCCATTTACATTTTTTGGATATTGGTAGTTTCCTCATCAGACAATTTGCAAGGCACTTCAAGATGCGTTTTGATACACCCACTAATGTTTCAGATAGATTCTGAAATCCTGAAGAAAGAGAAAAGCAGATTATGAAAGAAAAAGAAAAGAGTAACACAATAATTAATTTTATTTTTAGGTGGTTTTAATGACCTAGATCTCAATGATGGGAAACCTTTAGCTCCACGCCCAGCAGGTAATGTATAGACTTTTTTTTCAGGTGACTCGTGTTTTTCTACTTTCTCTGGCAAAATAATTTAATTGATAGATTTCTCATTATTATTTTCTAGCCTGCTTTTTAATATATAAACAGATCATAACATATTATCAATAAGGCATCATACTGATGAAATGGAATGCTCAGAAGTGGTATCCAGTGTCACTGAAATAGCACACATGCTTGCTTATATTGTCACATGAATGCTGCACTTATGCCCTTGGGTCCCAATCTCTGAAACAGGTTAGAGCAGACATGTCAAATTCATGTCATCACAGCGGCATCATGTGACATATTGGGACTTTTCCCCCTTTGCTAAACCGGGTGGGTGCAGGGCCAGCACATGATGCATCTGGACTGTGGGTTGGAGTTAGACACCCCTGAGTTAGAAGGCTTCCATAAATTGTTTTTTATTCCATCAACTTCCTTTATTCTCTATTTTGAGGATATATTTTCTGTAATATGTTGTTGAATATTTTTTATACTTGGTATTTTTGGTACTTGCAGTACTGGTAGTGTAGGGTTTTTTTAATGCTTTTTTTCTTGAAATAACCATGTTATTGACTCTATCTTAGGTGAGAAAGAGCAAACTTCAGATCAGGGTGGAAATATGGGTAAGAGTTTGCATTTGTTTTGTTTTGTTTTTGTCTGTGTGGTTATTAAGAGACAACATATGTAAATAGTAAATACTGTATTTTTTTAAAGTATACTTTATAAAGTGACTTTAAAAAAAATGGTAATTGGGGGTTCCCAGTCTGGAAGTTGCTGAGGACCACTTAGTTGGAATAGTTGGAAAAAGATTAAATTTTGATGGAAAATAGTTGAAATGACCAGATCTGGAACCAATCCATATTGTTGTTTCTATTCCTTCAGTCTTATCCCAGTGTACTTCCTTAATTTTGAGGGGCTGCCACAGAGAGGAAGGGGCCAAGCTATTTTCTAAAGCTCCTGTAGGCCAGGCAAGGAATAATGGATGGAAACTGAACAAGGAGAGATTTAACCTGGAAATAAGGAGAAACTTTCTGACAGTGAGAACAATCAACCAATGGAACAGCTTGCCCTCAGAAGTTGTGGGAGCGCCATCACTTGAGACTTTCAAGAAGAGATTGGACTGCCATTTGTGAGAAATGGTGTAGGGTCTCCCACTTGGGCGGGGGGTTGGAGTAGATGGCCTACAAGGTCCCTTCCAACTCTGATTATCTGTTAAATCTGTTAAAAAAAAATTCAAAACTACTATGCTTGCAAAATTTAGTTCACTTTCACTAAGCAGATAAGCAGCACCATATTTATTTCATTTTATTCCAATCTCCAATTGAAATCCAACTGTTACTTCATTCATTTTCCATCAGTAATTCCATTATTGATATCACTGGTTTGGGAAAATGAGATAACATCTTGAAACTTTGAATTTATTTTTTAATCATGTTTCTATGTGACCCAGGTGATTCTGGTTGGTTTTTAAATGCCTTAGCTCAACTACAATCCATAACTCTGACTTGTTTATATCCTGGATTTCAATAGAATATTATTCTAAATGTCTTTGGCCTATACATTAAATCAGAATGATGCATACCAAGAGCTGAGAGGTCATACTGGATCTTTTTTCTCAATATAGAGTTAGACTCTTATCTGGGTAAAGAGTTTGAGACTTCCCTATAGAAATGTTAAAATAAGCCAAAGTGATGTCAGAATGGCTACTCATCACAGAAAATATACTACACCATAGTGCCTAAAGCAAAGAAGTATATTTACGTTATGACATGTCATAATTGGCCCTCCTTTCTGACTACCTACATATATCCTCCTGACCTCTAAACAAATGCCCAAGATTTTAATCTGTTTTAATACAGGATGAAAGAAAGATCAGGACATCAGGACAGGTTGAGAAACCAGATTCTAAACATCTGATCCTCTGGTTTCTCATTTACTGATTCCAAAAAAAAGTAATCGTCATGGAAAAATGGGTTTGAGTTGCAGACAGAAAAATTAATTTCTTGCCACCAAACCTAGTCAAACATTTAGTTTGGAAGTTTCTTAGGTTTTTCATTCTGTCTATCCAGAATGACAGCATCGTTCTAATTCATTAATATTTACATGATTTGGGCAATGACGAAGAAATTTCATTATAACACAACTTGCAACCATTCATTTAATGACCATTCAAAGTTATAGTGGCACTGAAAAAAATTTTATGACCATTTTTCACACGGCCATTGCAGTATCCCCATGGTCACATGTTCAAAATTTGGATGCTTGGCAACTGGCTCATATTTATGATGGTTGCAGTGTCCCAGGATCACGTAAGCACCTTTAGTGACCTTTTGATAAACAAAGTCATTGGGAAATCTAGATCCACTTAATAAGCATGTCACTAACTTAACAACTGCAGTGATTCACTTAATAGCTGTGGCAAGAAAGGTCACACAATGGGGCAAAATGCACTGAACAACTGAAATACTTAGCAACAGAAATCTTGGGCTCAACTTTACTCACAAGTCAAGGACTACCTGTGGTGGGATTCATAACTGCTTTTTTCCCCTCCTTAGTTGACTCTGCTACGACAGCTCAGATTACATCTCCTGTTGTTGCTGTAGCTGTGTTGCTGACTGTTGGGGCCCTAGCTGGCTATACCGCTTATAAGCAGAAAAGATACTGTTTTAAACCAAGAGGTAAGACTGATTCAGTGGTGGGATTCAACCCACAACTGTGTTACTACCAGTTTGGTGACTATGTTTTGCATGCACATGTGCACTTCAAGTGTGTGTGTCTCAGACACGCGCTATGCGCGCGTGTAAAAAAAACATCAGCTATGCCACCTGGAGAGCTGAAAAGCGCTGCGTGCAGGTGCACAGCATTTGAAAAGCCTCTTTTTTCCTGCTTTTTCAACCTCAGCTGTGCTGCGCAAAGCAGCTGAGGTTGCAAAAGCAGGAAATAAAGGACAGGTAAGAGCCCAGGCGGGTGGGTGGGCCAAACAGCAGCAAACATAGAACTGGTTTGGTGTCTGCTGCTCTTCAGAGCTACCAGTTCTATAGAGCTGGGCAGAATCAGTAGCATCCCAACCCTGGACTAATTGCTTTAAGTCTTCTAAAATCTCAATAAAATCAATACTGGATGCCATAGTTTAGATAAGACTTGAGAAGGTCTTCATTATATATGGGATATACTGTATTAGAGACCGGTCGCTTCTCACAGCAATTAGGGAAGACTTACAGTATTTCCAATGGGATTAATCAATCATTTTTAGTGAGTCTTAAATTTTATGATGGAAGGGATAAAAGAAAATAAAAAGCTAGCCTTTTTCTATGAACGTTTTCTAGAAGAAAAAAATACCAAGATTCTATGCTAATGCTACTATTTTTTTAGTCTACTGCTACAGAAACAGATAATAAAATTTTATTCAGTAACATCACAATGCCTTATTAAGAAAAAATAAATAAAAGTTTCTTTTTAAGATCTACCTATAAATAATGTTGCTTTGTTCTCTCTGTAAATTATATTTTGAATGCTTTTGACGAGTTATAATTTCTGTCTAGCTTGTTTGAGTAGTGTTTTATATGCTTCCTTAAAGAATTAATTAGCATCAGAAATATGCTTTGGATATGAATCATCAGTAAATGTCTATGGAGGTTCTCAGTCATCCAGGTTATGGTTGTCCCAAAGGTGCTTTTCTTGGATCAAAGATTTCTTGGATGAGAAGCGAAACATCTTCAAAGAAAAACCAGAAAGTCCAATTGCCTTTTGAAAAAAGAAAAAAAAAAGCACCTTTTGGAGAACAATGAATAATTTCATTGAATTTGTGGCTAAGCTTCTTGAGCATGTGTTGGATGATAGCGCTAAAATTACCATGTTCTCTCTCAGGTGCTCTCTTAGGCTGAAATCCAAGGCAAATGTATCTTACACCTGCCCATCCTGCACAGGTGTTGTTCATAAAGGCTTTTGGAACAATCCTGTTCATTTACTTTGAAATCAGATCCACTGTATCAATGCTACTTATTCTCTTGTATGTTTATGTTACAGTCTATTTTTATTTGAGAGTAAAGGTGTTTTCTAGAAAAGTATCTTACAATGCACTTAGTCTATCTCATTCACAAAAAATATGTAAATGACAGACCTGACTACCTTCCATTCCATTCTATTATTTCTTCCATTTGTTTTCTTACCAAGAAGTTATATTTTTGATTGAACTAGCCAGTGATGGGCTGCAAATTTTTTAACAACTGGTTCTTTGGCTGGGTAGGTATGGCTGGTTGGTCATGTGACTGGATCACACCCAACCCTGCCTCCTGGTCACTCACCTCAAAGGAAGAGGTATGATTCAACTGATTTGGGATAATCCCACCACTGGCTGGCCCCGCCCCCACCCATTATTCGGCCTGTTTTGGGGACATTTTCAGGTTGTTTGGGCCATTTTCAGGCTGTTTTTCATGCTGTTTTCAGGCCATTTTTGGCCCAGAAAATGGACCCCAAACAGCCTTGAAAATGTCCTGAAAAATGTCCCAGAAAATGTCCTGAAAACAGCCCAAAAAACCAGGCCAAAAAATGGGCAGGGCAGGGCCAGGCAGTGGTGGGATTTGCCATTTCGCCAAACTGCACCTAATCCTAACTCCCTAACCAGGATCAGCCCACCTCTGGAATTAGCACACTAGAAGCATTCAGGGGTATATGTTGCATATTATTTGTAATGTGCTGCATTATTTGTAACATAGTATTGTTTTTTACATTAACATGCACACTTATGTTTTAGGTGCAGCAGTTGCATAAACCATTCAAAAATGATCTAAGAAATGTTGACTTCCACAACATCCTCAACAAATGAAGGAACTGCATGCTGTAATACCTATGAAGCTGTTGCTAAGATTTTATGTAATGAGGCATTTTGTTTTTGTGTATAGAAGCTAAAGAACAAAATTTTCAAAACAAGAGATTGATTAATGATATATACTGCTCCTACATTGTATGAATAGTAAAAATACATTTTGTATGAGTTTTTTTTAGTTCATACAAGTTAGTAACATTTTATGTTCTGTTTATTTAAGATCATTGATTCAAACAATCAGAATCAATTTCACTCTTGGTATACAGCCTTTGGTTTATAGTTAAGGCTCTTTATGTACCCTTTTTCAAATCTTCAGGACTACTTAAAAATCTGTTGGGGTGATAGATGCACTGAAATGTGGAAAGATGCACACCATGTCCTTTGGCTATCCTGCATCAGTGTTCAGGGAAATACTATACTTCTCTAACTTTTAATTTAAATTTCATTGAAACAAACATCATTGGTTATCTTTCTACATTAGCTACTTGAAACCACCAACAAAGTCAGGCTTATGCACCCGATTCCTTTCAGCATTTAACCTTATGTGGAAATTGGTGCTATATGCTATGTTGTTTAAAAGTCAAGGGATAGTTCACCTATTTTTGAGTGTGACTAGCTGAAATGTTAATTTGGTGACACGATACCAGGTGCTAAGAAATAAACATAGATTGTGGTCATCTTCATGAAGTTCCAAACAAGGTTTATTGTATTTAAAGGAGATGGTCAGGAAAAGGAGAGAGGTCAGGAATACAATGGAATATGTATATGGTTTTTCCTCTTTAATTTAGGGGATTTTTCCCCTTCTTTCTTTAGTTCTAATATATAATATATTGCCATGTATATTAATTTTCTACTGATATATTCTTGTAAAATCTATGTAAAAGTAAAGTTTTCTTCAAGTTAAATTTGACTCCCAGATTTAAGTTTGAAACAGAATTATGTCCTAAATTAATAAAGAACATGTTATTACTAAAATGTATAAGCCTTTGTTGAAATATGAGCCAGAAATACAAGTGAAATAACGTATGATAAAATGGTTAAAATTTTTGGTTCCAATAAACAATTGGTTCAGTGGGGAAAATATGTGGTTAGAAGGATTGAAATTTATATTATAATTCTAATCTAAGATAATTTTTACAAAATTGTATTTATTTATTATTATTTTTACACACTGCCCATCTCAGGTAAATGACTCTAAGTGACCAATGATGTATAATTGATATCTGTCACCTAAGAAATTGTACAGAATCTATAAAGGTATTTTTAATCTTTGTTTGAAATGAGAACAACATAAAGGGAACATTTTGATCACATTTATGGACATATACAAAAGTTTAGAAAATTTTGGATACAAACATATACATTAAATCAGAATAGTTTAAAGACTAACGTACAATTGAAAACAGACGATTTCCTTTTGGGAGTGATACACAAGGAAGTAGAAAAAATGTATGCTGCTTTGTTTTTGTATATGACAATTTCAGTAAGATGGTTATATGCTCCAAAATGGAAAGGTTCCACACTACCTACAATGAAGGAATGGTTGGTGAAGATGATGGAGTCAACAGAGATAGCTAAATTAACTTCTTTGATTAGAGAAAAGACAGTATCTACTGACTAGAAAACCCTTATAGTCATTTTGCATGAAACAGAAAAATGTACTTATGATTTTTAATTTTGATGATAGGAAAAAAATGGATAATAGAAAAAAAAATGAGCTTTTTTATTGTAATCATAGAGCAGGCCTGTCCAACTGGTGGCCCATGGGCCAGATATGTCATGGCAGGCCACATCCAGTTCCGCAAAGGCAAAAAACATGGCAATACATCAGGACCTGGCCTGTGACGTGATTAAGTTTGACACCCGTGTCATAGAGTATAAGATAACTTTATAAATAGACTTGCATTTGCTGCAAAGGAAATTGGAAACTTATTTTTTCTATTCTTTTTTTTCTCCAATTTTGTCTTGTCTTCTTCGATATTAGTTCATGTTAGTTTTTATATTCTCTTTAAGATGTTTAATAAAATTTATATATATAAAATGGCTCCAATGACTTATATGGACATATCCATGCCCACGGAAGCAGTTTGCCTTTACTTGTTTTCATAATGTTTTATCAACTTCTTAACCTTAGCCTTAACTGCTTGAAAATTGAAGACTATTTGTATTGGCTGATAAAATTTCTTTCTTATCCTGGTGTAGTGTGCTAAACATCTGATCAAACTGGAAAGACCGTGGGAAACTCATTGTAAGATTTTCTTTCTTTGCTTCATTTACATTGTAATTAGACAGTTAAATGGATTCATGGAGGGATGGCATTTGGAAGTGGTTGGCACAGCAAGTCCTCAGACTTCTGTCTGGTGGGAGGAAAAATTGTCCAGGATGTTTATACTTACCTGTCTTGGAGTAGCTGCACCTCCAGACCATTCTGAACCAGAGATGGTATTCAGCAGGTTCTGACCAGTTCTGGAGAACTGGTAGCAGAAATTTTGAGAAGTTCAGAGAACTGGCAAATACCACCTGTGACTGGCCCTACCCTCATCTATTCTCTGCCTCCCGAGTCCTAGCTGATCGGCTGGGTCTTCTTTTGTTGGGCTGCCCAGGATAACGGACCTGGAAAGCAGGTTAGTGAGGTGGGGAGGGAATGGGGATTTTGCAAATCCTTCCCCTGAAGTGGGGAGGGAATGGAGATTTTACAGTATCCTTCCCCAGCCATGCCCACCAAGCCACACCACACCCACCAAGCAATGCCCACAGAACCGAATCCCACCACTGTTGTGAACCATACTGAGCTTATTCCCTTCACCTACCTCCATGTAAAGCTCCCCTAGGCTGGTTCTTGCTCAGTGGCACTAAGGCCTATATAGGCATTCTTCCCTGACAAATCCATGGGGGGTGGGGGCATACCCTCCTCAGGTAATTACAATCCATATGCCCTCACTGAAGAGGTAGCAGATAAGAAATCTCCAATCCCAAGCCCTGATTGTGACTCACAAATGATGCTGCCCAGTAAGACAGGATATATTGCACTGGTGGTCTCATTAGTGGGAATCCTAGTGCTCATTATGCACAATTTCAAAAATATTAATAGCCTGGGCATGGACACTGGCTAACCTTAATTTGACCTTACAAACCCTGTATGCACTAAACTAAGAGCTAAGGCAGGTTCAGGAAGCAACCCTTGGAAATGGGCAGTCATTAATTCATGGCTGCGAAGAATGTTGGGACATGTGCTTACTTCAACCTGACTGAAAGCTCACAGAAAGTAGCATGCAACATCTAAAAGAATTGGCACAGAATATTGGATACTATAAATTTCTTTTCTACTTAACAGAACTTTTGCCCTGGCTCCTAGAAGTTCACGGGTTGAAAGCTCTCCATTTGGGAGCCACTGAAGGAATATTTTTCTACTGTTATTCTATCAATGCCTTCCCTTTGTATTAACAATCTGAGATCTTGTCTCCCTGCATCTCAGAACCCCCAGAAAAGACTCATCAGGTCTCCCTAATAATATGTCAAATTGACAAATAAATAAAAGCAACTCCGTAATCTTGTGACAATAAAAGAATGTGTTACTTAGGGTTTTTTTTTTTACATAGTGGGAATTTGTAGGAAGAAAATGCAGCCCTCGAAAAAAGCCTCCTTCTGTACACCCCAAACCTTAAGAAACAGAAAAGCCAAGAAAAGAAATGCAAAAGCTGCTAAAAGTAAAAGAATTTCCCCCCTCTTCTTCTCTTCACCAATAGAAAGAAAAACAATGTTGTAATAGTTAACTTAAGTAACCCTATTTATTGAGAAAAGTGGAAACAATACCAGTCCATTAAGAAAGGCAGGCTAGAGGCAATAGATAACAAGATAAAATCAATTGCATATGCCTGACAGGATTGGACCAAGGAAGCTGATAATAAAGACCCATCACTTTATGAAACAAGTAAAACAAATCAAATAATAAAAACACACAAAGCAAAGCTCAAAATTAAAAAATACCGTAAACTGAATAAAAATCTTGCACTCATCAAGCTAATTTGTCAACTGTCCCAGAAATGAATGCTGTTGTTGGTTCTGCTCATCAATGAACTTTCTTTCTTAAGCAGCTTTTATTCCCAGCTTGGAACTGGATCTGATTTTTCTTTCAACAGAAGCCAATATGCATTTAATGCAGGGGTGTCCAACCTTGGCAATATTAACATCTGTGGATTTCAACTCCTAGAATTCATCCTAGAATTCTGGAATTGAAACCCACAAGTCTTAAAGGTGCCAAGTTTGGACAGCTGTAATTTACTGCTATTCTGAAAAAAAGCTAAGCTTTATCCCAAAAAGAAGACTATGGCAGCTATTGGATATAGGGAGGACTGTGCCACGAAGCAGCAGAAACACCACCATTTTTGCTTCATTCTGAGGAAACACTGCTGTTTAGATGCTGGTCAGGTGATGCAGAGTTCAGAATCAACACAGAAACAGCATTAAAAAAAACTAGATTCTTCTGCTGCCCAAAGCAAACTAGCTTTGAACTGAAGGCAAAGGCAACCACCATTAACTGAGAATCACAAATGGCTCAAGTCATCTCAGAATGGTTGAAGTGCATCAGATTGAATGCAAAACCTGCTACCTTTTGAGAAAATAATTAAAAAAAGAGATTGCAGAATTTAGAATAACTTAAGGCCGCTTGTGATATGGGCTGGTGATCAAATCAGGAACATATTAGAAAATAGGTTGCTTGAGCACTGCAAACTAGGGAAGGCTATATATGATTGCATATTTCATTTTAACAGCATATGGTAGTGGAGAACAAAGACCCATTTCAAGTCTTGTGTCTCAGTCTATTGACTCTCTCACCCTAATTGGACTGTTTCAATTCAAAACGATGCTATAGAGCCCTGCACACCAGAACAACTAGACACAAGAACAGTTTTTCCCCGAATGCCATCACTCTGCTAAACAAATAATTCCCTCAACACTGTCCAACTATTTACTAAGGCTGCATTACTATTACTATTAACCTTCTCATCACTCCTATCACCCATCCCCTCCCACTTGTGACTGTATGACTGTAACTTTGTTGCTCGTATCCTTACGATTTATATTGACTGTTTCGTAGTATGATTTGATTGCCTATTTACACCCTATGACTATATTAAGTATTGTACCCTTTTGATTTTTGACGAATGTATCTTTTCTTTTTATGCCCACTGAGAGCATATACACCAAGACAAATTCCTTGTGTGTCTAATCACACTTGGCCAGTAAATAATTCATTCATTTAATCATTCATTCATATTGTTTTTTGAAATGATGAAAAACTAACACACACAGAGGACTTGAGGCTGGGGAAAGTGAAACCCTTCAGAAAAAGTGTGCTAGGGTAAAACATCTCAAAAGGCAGGAACAATACTGTAACTAATCAGGAATTGATCCCTGAAAAATAGACTTTGACCCTGGATGACTAGAGAGAAATTCTAGCTGCTTTGTTTGTGGAAATTCTCAGTCAAACAGGTCATAGCTGGATGCTGCGGTGACACAGAGGTCAGAATGCAGTACTGCAGACTACTTCTGTTGCCTGCTGGCTGCCTGCAGTTTAGTAGTTTGAGTCTCATCAGGCTCAAGGTTAACTCAGCCTTTCATCCTTCCAAGGTAGATAAAATGAGGACCCAGATTGTTGGGGGCAAGAGGCTGACTCTGTAAACCACTTAGAAAGGGCTGTAAAGCACTATGCAGTGGTATATAAGCCTAAGTACTAACTCAAGGCCTGCAAAGGTGCCTCTGCCAGCGAAAATGGAGCTCAGGAGAGCCACCAGCTCTGTTTTCTCTGGCAGAGGGTTGCAGGAGGCCGTCACAGCCTCCCGAGCTCCGTTTTCGCTAGCAGTGCTCAGATCACCAGAGGCGCCCTCAGCACAAGTGATGTCAAGCTGGCCATGCCCACCCAACCCCCAAGATCAAACACAAGCCTGATGCGGCCCTCAGTGAAATTGAGTTTGGCATCCCTGTGCTAAGTGCTGTTGCTATAGCTGTCTCCAAAGTGCTTTTTGAAAAGGCAACCTGGCCTTTTTCTCCTTGAGGAGGAACAAAAGTTTCATTTCTCATCCAAGAAATCTCATCAGTTGTGATGGGGGTGGGGTGGGTGAGGACACACAACATAGGAGATCAAACCCATCAGGATAAGATTCAGCATTTGAAAGACAAAGCTGACAGCAAAGTCCACATTTTGGATGGAGAGAATCATTGGTTTGAAAGAGGTATAAAAGAGGACGTTTATGTTAACCCCAAGCAGCCCTCTATCAACAGAGCTGGAAGGGGTAAGATACTATCTAACTCCAGCCTACAGCGCAGCTCTTGCAGCAGTGCCAAGGAGATTCAACAACCAATTGCACCCTGAGAGCAAGGAAGAACATCGCCTATGTTTTTGTTCTTCTTCCTCAAGGATAAAAGAGCCCAGTTGCCTTTTGAAAAAAAGCACTTTTGAGATTCCACCGAGAGAAGCCGCTCTGCCTTACTGCAAGATTCCTGCACGGCGCGTGAATTCTTCTCAGGAGGGCATCGGTTGATGCCGCGCCGCCGGAGGAGGAGCCGCCGACCGGACCAATGAAGGGGTAAATCTCGCTCGCTCCCGGGATGGCGCAGAAAAGGTTGCCCCGCCCCCCTCGCCCTTTGACTGGCCGCACCGGCGACCGAATAGCAGCTGAGCTCGTTGCCTAAGCTGCGTTTGGAGTCCGAAGGGCGGCTAGAGGATTTGCAGGGGGCGCAGGAGCCCGGCGTCGCCTTCAAAGCACGCCTTCCCTCGTAAAAGGTGTGCGCGGTTGGTGTTGCCCCGTGCCTGGAACTGAGGGGCAAATGGTTGGTGTTGCCCCGTGACAGGAACTGAATGGCAAGTGGTTGGTGCTGCCCCGTGACTGGAACTGAGGGGCAAATGGTTGGTGTTGCCCCGTGACTGGAACTGAGGGGCAAATGGTTGGTGTTGCCCCGTGACTGGAACCGAGGGGCAAATGGTTGGTGTTGCCCCGTGACTGGAAC